GTTTGTCCTGATGAGCTGCTCCATCGTCTGATTGGTTCCTTCGGTCTGGCCGTCCGTTTGCCGGTGGTATGCTGATGAGAACTGTAGCTTCGTGCCGTACTGTGCCCATGTCTCCTTCCAGAGTTTCGACGTGAACTTCGGATCCTTGTCGCTGATGATCGCCAAGGGGATTCCGTGCAGTCGCACGACGGTAGAGATGAAGAGTCGCGCAGTTTCTTTGGCTGTGATTGTTGTATGACATGGTGCGAAGTGCGCCAGTTTTGTGAGACGATCAACGACGACGAGAACTGCGTCGCTGCTGGACGGCTCAGCTGGCAGCCCTGTGACGAAATCCATCATCACTTGTTGCCGCGGTCGTTCGGGTGGCTCGAGAGGTTGTAGCAATCCAGCTGGCCGTTAACGTGTCGATTTCATGGCTTGGCACACACTGCATGAGGACACATATCCCAGCACGTCGTTAGAGGAGTCAGACCAATAATATTTACGGTGCAGCAATTTCTGGGTTTTGTCAACCCCGAAATGTTCGAAGAAATTGGAGTTGTGGACCTCTTGGATAAGGAGTTCACGCAGCAGCCGGTAAGCGGGAACCCAAATCCGATCAGTTCCGGCTTTTAGGTAGTAAATCCCTTTCTGCGTCGTGGCCTGCTGATGATTTCCAGTCGTGAAGAACGGATCTGTAGTGTAGCCGTGGGTGAATAGTCTCGTAAGTAGCGGATTCGTCTGGGTGATGAATACTGCAGCATATTGAACTGTCGGTCGGGTGAGGGCGTCGGCGATGTTATTCGCCCCTTTCTTGTATGTGATGCGGTAGGTGAAATGACTCTCCATATAATCGAGCCAACGAACTTGACACAGGTTGAGGTTGGGCTGGGCTCGCAAATACTGTAGAGACTTGTGGTCCGTGCGAACAGCGACGTCTGCGCCCACCAAGTAGCAGTGCCACAGTTTGAACGCGTGTATTATGGCGAACATCTCCTTGTCATGTATCGCGTAGTTGCGCTCGGCTGTCTGCAGCTTGCGTGTCTCGTAGGCGATCGGCTGCAGGTCGTTCCCGAAATCCTGGAGAAGTACAGCACCGATGGCGAAATCTGAGGCGTCGGTGATAACTTCGAACGGCTTTGATGGGCCGGCGATGCGCAATACGGGAGGAGAGACGAGAAATTTCTTCAACTCTTGCAAAGCCGCCTCAGATTCCTCCCCCCACACAAAATTCTTGTCCTTGTGCAGCAGGTCGGTCAGCGGGCCGGTTATCCCCGCCATATTCGAGATAAACCGCCTGGCGTAATTCACAAACCCCAGAAAACTTTGTAGTTCCGTGACACTAGTCGGGAGCTTCCACTCCTGTAAAGTCTTGATTTTCGTCGGGTCGATTTTAATGCCGTCGCAGGAAATGACGTGCCCCAAAAACTCCAACTCCTGCTTAAAAAACTCGCACTTAGAGCCCTTGGTGATGAGTCGGTTCTCCTTGAGCCGCTTAAAGACTGCGTGGAGGTCGCGGAGGTGTTGTTCCCTTGTCTTGCTAAATATCAGGATGTCGTCCAAGTAGACGATAACGGACTTGTCGAGTAAATCCCGGGAAACACTGTTCATGGTCAGTTAAAAAGTTGAAGGCGTGTTTGTGAGGCCGAACGGCATCATTGTAAATCCGTAGCTTCCGTAGCGGGTTCAAAATGCGGTCTTGTGGCAATCGTCCGCGAAGATCCGGATCTGATGGTAACCGCCACGTAGATAGAATTTCGAAAAATATCGAGCGCCGCGAAGTTGGTCGAGAAGGTCGTCTGTGGGATTAGGTAGCGAGACTTGATTGTCGCCCGGTTGAGCGCACGACAGTCGATGCGCATGCGAAGCCCGCCATATTTTTTTGGTGTGAACAGGATCGGTGATGCGAAGGGAGATGTATTGGGTCGGATGAACCCCCTCTCCAACGGTGCCTTGATTTGGCTTCGCAGTTCCTCGAGTTCAGGCTGGGTCAACCGCCACTTTGTTCGTACAGTCGGCTGCGCGCCTGGTTCCAACTGGATTTTGTGTTCCTCATGTCTCTCGGGTGGCAGTCCATGTGGCAGATCGTCGGGGAAGATGTCGCGGTACTGTCGAATCAGCTCCGCTAAATCCGGTGGTACTGCTGCATACGGCTTCTCAACGTCTTTTCCGTCGGTGTCAATTGCCAACGCGCGTAAGCAAACGGCGAACAGCTGCGCGCCTCGGTTGAAGTGGCGAGCTATAGTGATAGCTTTGACGCACGGGGCTCGGATGTAGTTAGGTGTCCATGCAGGAAGTTGAATTAGCCCTCGTGCTTGCTGATGCAGCACGATCCCGTTGTCCAGTCGATGAAGGGGTTGTGTCGTCGCAGCCAATCATATCCCAGCAGTACGTCGCAGCCGTCCGGCGTCGTCGCGAGAAAATTTATGCTGAAGCCGAAATCGTTGCCGCATTCGATCCGAACCGTCCGTGTTTCTTCCAATATTGCCAGAGGCATCCGATCCACGAGGCGAGCGTCAATTTCGAACAGACACCTATCAAGTTGCAGCCTGCATTTTTTTGTTGTCGCTAAGTTGAAGAGGCTATGGCTAGCCCCTCCATCGACGAGCATTTTCAGATGATTTTTTAACACCTTGCCAGCGACCATCACAGGGTGATCCACGTGATTATCCCCGTTATTCGGCCGAGTGCGATCGATTGCATGAATCGGAACCACGACTCGGTGGGGATGGTGGGGTTCGGGCGACGGAGCACAGTCAGTAAATGGCCCGTTAATTACTGACTCTTCCCATTTCCCTGCTCCTTCCTGTCGTCCCCTTTCATCGGCGTTTTTTTGTGGCAGTCGCGCATGTAGTGACCTGTCTTCCCATACCGGTAACACGGTCCCTTAGGAGGGTGGTCGGGTATATGGACGGCGTTGATCGTGGCCCGTTGGGTCTGGCCACGAAAACGGTTTCCCTCCTGGGAAGCTGTTTTCACGTACTGCATCAGCGCATCTGTTGACTCCTCCAACCGTACTGCTTCCATGAATGATGTCGGGCGGCCCAGCGCACCTCGTATTGAATTTCATGCTTGAGGCCACTGATGTATTTATCCACCCGTTCCGCTTCCAACATGTCATCCACTTCGTTGGCGAAGCCCATGAATGGCGTTGTGTAGTCTTGGACCGAAGCCATCTGCGACCAGGCACGCAACTTCATGCGAGCTTGCTCCGAGGCGGATACGTGCTTGAAGCGATCTCGTAAGGCTGTGCCCCACTCCTTCCACGTGCGTATCTTGGTCACACCGAAGATCGGTTCTGCCACTTGATTAGTCGATGTTGAGGTTCCGTGTGTCGCATGTGTCACACATGTCGGGGCCCCATTTCCAAGATTCGGCACCACCATTCAAGCGCTGCGCCTCGAAGAAGCGAAACCGCGTAACTAATACGCGTGGCATCGTCGTTCACACCTGCTGCAGTGAAAAAGACTTCAACACCGAGCAGCCACCCCTTAACTGTAGCCGTCTTCTCCGTAGGGTTGAACGGGGGCTGGTAGTCACTATACCAGCCACACCTGTGCCTACCAAACTACCCTCGAAAAGCGGGGTGAAGCACGAAAGTAGCTCTGATACCAGATGTTATGAGTTGTAAAAGAGAGTGCGCGGAATAACGAATAACGAGACTGTGATTGAACGAACTGACAATAAAATGAATGTATGTGATGAGGGAACCTCGGAGATCGAGGTTGGGTGCAGGTTTGGCGACCGAAAGGCCGAAGGCGACGCGAGAAGCCTCGGCATCGTTGATGTCGGCCGAACGTGCAAAGTCTGAAAATCGGGTTGTACGCGTAGCAGTCAACCCCGATAAGGAATTCGGGAAATTTCCTTACAATGGTAACTTGGTGGTCTGTAGGGTAACCTATCCGCACATCTCCCATGAGATTATAGATCTTAGACTTTTCATGCGTCCTTGGACTCTCGATCTGAGTGTCCTTCATTAGAGGAACAATTTACACATGCTACACCCTCTTTCTCGCCATTGTGAATTCGGTTATAATGAAGTCAAGATGGAAAAAGCACGGTTAACGGTGGTTAAATTACGTTTCGGTATGGTTCAATCAGGCAAATCGAAGAGAACAAGGTTTTCCACCTGTTCGGCACAGTTCAGTGTAGCGAGAAACAGGGTGTACAACATAAATTTTACACAGGTCACAACATTGAACGTGGTGCACTAGTATGTTCCAGAAACTGGGCTGTCCATTTGCTGCAGCCATCAGGACCAAAGCATTTGGAAGCATCTGTCATCCCGCTGCGAGTGCTCTTCAAGGGAGTTGTACTGTAACTTATCGCTAGCGATGCTCCACCCCACTCTCAGGCATCTTTCGCGCAAACATGATCCGACCTCCCCCTCCCCCTCCGTGACTGGCGGTTTCACGATGACGTGGAAGGGCGGTTGGTGGTGGTGGTGTTCGAGGAACAGTCCTTCTGCTCGTGAATTCAACAGAAGACGACGACAGCTTCTGTGCATCTGTTGCAATGTGCCGCAACGGTTGCAGATGAGGACCGAAATTTTCCCTGCACCGACATGACTCATCATTCTTCCTCGATCCCAAATTCATTTCTGATGCACTCCACGTTGCAACCACGGGCCTGACATCGGCCTTTCTCTTCTGAGCCAAGTTGTCGCAGCAGCGGATTTTACAACAGCCACAAGAATGAACTGGCGAGGCGACGTTTTCGGGTGTGAGTGGGGACTGGACTAAACAAGTCACGACTTCCTGTTCATCGCATTGTTCCACCACACCCATTATACCATGAGTTGCCTCACTCTTCTAGCTCGTAATGCTTCACAGTAAGTTAGTTCCCGCTACCATCCCGTTCTAGTTCGTCTTAGAGGCGTTGCGATGACCCTCATTGAAAAGAAGAGAGGCCCGTACTCGATCTACTGCCAAGCAGACGTAAAATCAGATTCGTCAAACGTACGCAAGTCCTTCAAAATCAACTAATCAACCTTACAAGTATCAATATCGTCGCGTCGCCTCATGTCGCACCTGCCTCAGGGAAACCTTCTTCCGCTCATCCGCGCTGGCGACATCGTCTCCATCTGGCATGACGTCATCCTCTTCGCCTCCCCAGGCGCGAGTAACTCTCCGCGGCGCGCCTCGCCGCGCGCCGTCTCCGCTTCTGCAGCGCGGGGCAAGCCGGCGACTATTCCCCTCCTCAACTTCATCTGCACTTCTTCCAAGTCTAGCTCGTTCGCCGCGTCGCTCGCCGGTCGCCGTCGCCGTCTAGCGCTTGACGGCGCCGTCAAAGTCGACGACTCGGAGCAGCGGCCGTGGAACCTCGGGATTATCCCGCAGACGTGCGTCCTCGGGCCGTCCGCCGTCTCGCAGGAATCCTCCGCAACCTCCGCCTCCGCGCTTCCCGACAAAAACACTTCCGCAGCAGACGTCGACCTTTATGATCCACTCGACTCCTCTGCCGCCGATCCCAGCGACCCGTTCAGCCGTTCCGATGATTGCGGCGAGTTTCCCGTGATTCTGGACAACGCGCCGTTAGAGGCGGTGGAGGTGGGCGCAAAGGAGCGCGACCCGGGCGACGTGTTCCCCGTGCTGCCGCTCCTCGCGCTCCCCGTGCGCCTGCGGTCCGGCCTGGGGACGGAAGTTTCGTGGAAGCTGGTCGTTGTGGCGGCAGATGATGGGCTCGTTCTGGCCAATCAGGTGGCGACTATAGTGGAGACGATTTTACCGAGAGTTAAAGACTGGGCCGCGGGAGGGTTCGGGGGTTTCACGGGAGGATCAGGGGGAGTCGCTTCCGACCATTGGTGGATCCCCGAATCTCCGCGGCGCGAATCGGACGACTGGGAGGAAGCTGCGCGTAAGGCGCAGGGCGTGGTTCTCGAAGCGCACAGCATATGGAAGCTGCTGGTTCCTTCGCTCCGCCGCCCCACGCTGCAGCGACGGCAGCGCGTGAGCGAGCGCACGGTGGATGGCTGGCGGGATAAGCGCGGGGCGGGGGACGACGACGAGAGCAACCTCTTGAAGCTCATCGCACGACCCGGCGCTAGCGGTGGGCTTGGCGGGTTTGGCAGGGGGAAGTCCCGCGGCGGCGGCGGAAACGGGAGGGAAGGGAGCGGAGCGGTGGCTGGGGCAAAGGGAGGGCTCAGCAGGGGGAGATGTTCCGCCGCCGCTGCTGCGGCGGCTGTTGCGGCAGCTGAAGGGCGCTCGGCGCGCAACGAGAGTGATATGGGAGGCGGGGAGTGGGAGGAGGAGGAGGGGCGAGAGGACGAGGGAACGAGACATCTGAGTCGGACGGCGGGCGGGGAGCATTCGCGTGGCAGCGGCGGTGTAAACAACGGCGGCAGGAGCAGCGCGGAAAGCAACAGCAGCGGCGGGAAGCGCAGAGGCGTGCTGCCGCAGATTTCGCCGCGCTCCTTGTCGATGACAACCGTCGCGGCTGCGCGCGCGCTCGTGAAAACCGCCACGTGGAGCAGGGCGTCTAGTCTTAACGGTACCAGCAGTGGTCATGGTACTGATGGTAGGAACGGTAGTAACGATAGCATAAGTCCTGGGAGTAAGAGCTTCGGTGCAAGTGCGGGTAATCGCAGTTTCACGAGGAATCGCGGCGACGAAGAAACTTGCGCGTTGAATCGGAGCAAAACTTGTAACGGAGCTGACTCTGCGTCTACCACCCGGGTTCGGCCGCGTAGCAAATCGCCTTTGCCGCGTCCGTTCTCGTCCAACTCTCGTAAGAATTCGCCACCAGACGCGCGAAACGCTCATTTTGACGATTGTTCGCTAGGGCATGGCGCTGACGAAGGGCGACGTGGCTCCTCCGTTAGGGTTAACTCAAGTGAACAAACTGAGGGTGCTTCTGGAGGGGTAAGAAAGTCCGGTCTTGCGGATGAGCTTGGCGAAATTGACGACACTAGCGATTTGGGTGAGGTCGTGAAGGGCAAAACCGACGCGCATCGTATGTGGAACAGTGGACGGTTGGGATTGTCGTTTGGCAGCAAGTCAGGTGATACCTCCACCAGACCCACCTCCTCCAAAGCAACCACCCCCACCTGGGGAGGCTTGGGCTCCGGCTTTTACAGCGGGCCGGTGTTTGGGAGGTTGGGTAAAAGCCGGACCATTAAAACCAGGGTGCACATTCAACGCGGTTCGGCTTGAGATGTTGGGAAGGGGGTTTGGAGAAAAACAGTGATTGGCTCACGAGGGGCGACAAAAAAATGATTCCGCTAGAGCTTCGGGCATTTCGTAGGTGGCGGGAGGGGGTGAAATGGCGGGAGTGGGTGAAACCGAATGGCGGGAGGGATGAAACAGATTGGCGGGAGGGGGGGGAAACGAAATTGCGGGGGAGGGGGGAAACAAAATTGCGGGGGAGGGGGGAAACGAATTTCGACGGGGAGGGGGAAATGAAATTGCGGGGGCGTGGGGAAACGAAATTGCGGGGGAGGGAGGAAACGAATTTCGACTTGAAGGGGTTGAAAGCACACCTCGTAACCCACTCAGTCAAGGGATAACCTTTGATGCACATTCAGCTGAATGTGCACCCCGGTTTTAAAGAAAGCGACGGGCAGCCAATCGCAAATTCACCAAGCGGGGCTTGGCAGGGGAATGAGGGCAGTGGAGATGGTGGCGAGGGAGATTATGATGGAGCAGGCGGTAACTGTTTTCATATCGGTGACGGAAGTGGTTACGGCATTACCAGCGGTGGTGGAGAGCGGGTGCGGAGTGGGGCACGGGGTGCGTTCAGCAGGAGCAACACGGCATCAAGCACATACAGCTTCGTGAGCATGGGGAGTATGGCCAGCAGCCACAGTAGCCGCTACAGCAAAAGCCCTGCTGCCACTCCAGACCTTCCTGCTGCTACTGCTGCTACTGCTGGGTATCACGGTGCGGGCAAGAGTCACGGAGTCGACGGACTAGTGGTCGATGGGCGGAGTGGGGAAACAGATGCGACGGCTCGTGCAGGAGAAACAGACGGCGGATGCCGCCCGTTCACCCCGCCTATGGGCCGGTCAAAGACCGAACCCAAAAACCGTGGTTCAGGGCGATCGAGGCAGGGGCGACCGCGCAGGGTCCTGTCACCCACTGATGCACATGATGCTGCTGCCTCTGCTCACAACAATCACCCCAATCACGACAATTACGATCATGACTCGGATGAGGATGATTCAGACGATGACGACAACTTTGCCTTCTCTCAGCCGAGTGCACCTCATGGCCTCATCCCCACACCTCACAGACTCACCCCAACACCGGGCGCCACCAGGCGAATGTCGGAGTCTCACTCCCCTCTGCCCAGCCCACCCGTGCTGAATCGCCGCTGGTCCCTGGCCTCCAGGACTGGCCCCACAGGGGAAGGAGGGGCGGGGCACCGTGGCCGGAACGTGTTTGATGCCTCTGCTGAGGATGGGGGCATGGAGGTGGATGGTCGGCGGGGCAGTCGGGGACGGGATGGTGGGCCGGAGGCAGCAGAGTGGGTGGCGGAGGAGTGCAGTGATGACTGCTCCAGCCAGGCGAGCTCTAGCCATGCTAGTGTTGAGCATGCCAACAGCCACTACGGACAGCAACTGCGGGAACGGAGAATGCTGCCCAAATTACCCACACTCCCCAAGTCACCCTCTCTGCCTAAATCACCAACACTACCCAAGTCACACGCACTCCCCAAGTCACCCTCTCTGCCTAAATCACCAACACTACCCAAGTCACACGCACTCCCCAAGTCACCCTCTCTGCCTAAATCACCCGCACTGCCCAAGTCACCTGCATTACCCAAGTCACCTACAATGCCCAGGTCACCCTCTTTGCCCAAGTCACCCGCACACCCCATATCATCCACACTGACCAAGTCACCCTCCCAGCCCAAGTCACCTTATGCAGAAAAGAGTGGGTTGCGAGGGGGGGTCCGCATGGAACGACCACATCCTCCTGACAGCAACCCCATGAGGGCATGTGAGAGCAGTGTAGGAGGGAGCAGCATGGGTGTTCCTTCTGAGGTGCCGCAAACCAGAGGAGGCACCAGGAGGGGTGTGCGGGGCAAGCAGCGGGGGAAGCAGCAGCTGGTTCCAGAATGCTTTTCCACCGAGTCGGAAGTTCCTATGAGATCAATGAGCCCTGGCAGTAACATGCTCGCCAGAAGTGTGTCGTACGATCAGCCATCGCCGCAGGTAGCAGCAATGATTGCTGCTGAAGCGCCGTTGCCGGAGCCACCAGGCCGACGATTTGTAAGGAGCCAAACAGAAGCCAGACTGAATGCGGCAATGATTGCTGCTGAAGCGCCGCTGCCGGAACCGCCAGGGCGACGATTTGCGGTTCGACCCAAGTCCAGCTGTGAGGTGAGAGCTGGAGGAGGGGTTGGGAGGAGTTTGGAGGAATGTGATGTGCGCTCTCGTCCTCCCAAATCTCCTTATGGCCAGAATGGTATCCTCTGGGGTTCTCCTTGCAGGTGGGGCAGGCAGGCGATGACCTTAGGAGGGATTTGTGGAATTGTGGTGGTGGTGGACGAGTGATGCTGGATAGGACTTGTGCTTTCAATTAATGGATTAAGCTCATGTCATTGTTTTATCGATCTTGGCATCTGCCAAGTCTGTGGGTCCTTTTTAATGAAATCAGATGTAATTAGTGTACATAATGGCAAAGTAGCATCAGTAAAAGTTGTCATTCTGTTCTCGCTAGTGATTCATTAGCAAAGAAAAGTTGTGGGTGTAGATTACCTATTCCAAAGCGATTACCATTGTACCGCGAAACAAAATCAACGCGACAGCTGCAGCTCGCGACGTTTTCGCTAGCATCCATCCATCACCATCACCCGCTCGCCCGTCACTTTCGCTCTTCGTTTCTTTTCGTCGTCACCGAGGCCGGGAGAGCTCCGCTGTTACTGGTGCTCCTATCATTTCGCTGCAACCCTTGGCAAATTCTGTTCCGAATCCACACCACCGTATCTTCGTTCCTAGCCCCCTTCTCCTTGCTGCCGACCCCCTCCCACCCGCAAGTTCCCTATCAGCTTCAGGCGCGTCCCCGTCCCTCCCGGGCCTCCGCCTGCGACCCAGCCGACGCTCGCTAAGACGTCGCAGAGTTTGTCGCGTGATGTCTCCTACCGCCTGTCATGCTGTTGCTTCCCATCCCACCGCGCCGTCGCTCGTTTCTCTATTTGAAATTCGCTGGCAAGGCCTTGACGCGCAGTCGCACGCGGTATCGCACGATCGGTCGCCTACGCAATCGCACGACGATAGTACAAACGAACGGCAGGATGTCCGGCAGATTGAATTTACGTTCCCGCTCGGTCGCTTAGTGCAGGGAAAGACGCAGCAGCAGTACCAACGTCCTGAAATAGAAACAGTGGAAGTGCGTACAGTAGAACAGCAGCAGCAGCAGCAGCAGCAGCAGCAGCAGCGGTCTCAGCCAATGGGGTGCTTTCCTTCCCGTTCACCCTTCGACTGTTGCTTCGCTGATACTGTAAAAACAAGTTCTAATATCGAGAGTAGTGGCAAGTTCGCGAGCACGACCGGCATGCAGAGTGGCTTCGATAGTACGTTGCAGCGTTCCACACATCACCTCAGTTATCGAGTTTCTCAGAAGCGAGGACAAGAACGGTCAGTTACTGAAGCTGGTGATATAAAGTGCGGCGGCTCGTATGGTCTATCTAAACTATCCGCACAACCCCTATGGGCCGATTCGTTACATACTGCTCCGTTAGGAGCCTCAGCACCATCATCATCGTCATCTGAAAACAAAGAGCCAGCTTCAGAAAGGGTACATGAGGTTCCTGACGAAGTGTTACGGCAAATCTTCAGCCGTCTGAGCGTGGTAAGCTATATCGAGTCAAAAGGTAAAGTTGCTGCGTTTCTGCTGACCTCCTCTCCTTCGTCCCCCTTCCGCTTCCCCTTTTCTTGCCCTGCCTCCATTTGTTTCCTTCCATATTTTCCTATTGCGTGCCGTACTGTGCTCCTCTGTCCATGCCTCATCCGTTTCAGCCTGCTCCCAACGCCCCTTGCTGCTGCCCTGCGTGATCCGTGAGGCTGACCCGTCTTAAAGTCCTGCTGTCTCTTTACCCTCCTTTCCCTTCACGATCCGCCAGGCCGACCTCCCTTGTGTGGCGACTGAGTGTCGCCAACCTTTGGAGGCACCCCCGTAATAACCGCCATTCTGACCTCCCCTGCATGGCGGCTTTGAGTCACCGCTGCCGCCCACTCGCCCTCAACCCCTCGCTCGCTGTGCTGCGTTGCTCCCCTCCCTGTTCTCTACCCATCCCTATCTCCATCTCGTTCTCTCTGCACCCATCCCCTCCCCTCCACATCCCGCCAGGCTGACCTCCCCCGAGTGACGGCTGTGTGCCGCCGCTGGCGCCCTCTCGCCCCAACCCCTCCATGTGCTGCGCTGCACTGAAATCACTTTTGAGAAAATTCAAAACTGATTTTAACATCCCTTTGTTGCGCTGCTCCCCCTCCCTGTTCTCTAGCCATCCCTGTCCTCATCTCGGTCTCTTCCCACCATCCCCCTTCCCTTCACATCCCGTCAGGCTGACCTCCCCCGCGTGGCGGCTGCGTGCCGCCGCTGGCGCCCTCTCGCCCTGGACCCCTCGCTGTGCTGCGCTGCCTTCTGCCACTCCCACCGCCTGCTCTCCCTGCGCCTCCCCTCCTCCGCTGGCCCAGCACCGCCAACGCCAGCATCAGCATCAGCACCAGCAGCACCAGCAGCACCAGCAGCATCTGCATCAGCCTCAGCATCAGCAGCAGCAGCAGCATCTGCATCAGCAGCAGCATCTGCAGCAGCACCAGCACCAGCTGTAACAGCAGCACCAGTGCCAGAGGCAAAGGGGGATAAGCTATCATCCCCTCTCCTCCATTCCGCCTCCACTCCTGCAGTGTGCTCCCGTGCCCACTCGCACCCCCCTCCCCTCCCCTCGTCCCCCACTCCTCGCACCGCCCGCCGTGGCCCCCCCTCCCTCCTCTCACTCCTCGCGTCGCCCGAGTTCGCTCTCTCCCACCCCATTGGCCGCTCCGACTCCATTGCCAGCCTGGCAGTGCGCTTCCACGTGCAGGTGGGTCACGCTGACACGTGGCATCCTGATGGTGCTGCCACGTGAGATGTTTGAGATTGACCCATCACGTGCCCGCACCGACACCGTCACCCGTGCATGTATGCTGCGCATGCATCTGTGATCCCTATACATGTGTATCCCATGTGCACGCTTTGTCTTCTCCAGGCCATGGACATCCGTCACCACAACAACATCATGAGCGACCATGCCCTGCCCTCACGGCTCATGCAAATGTGCTTCCCGTGCTCATGCATATGTGCTTCCCGTGCCCATGCACATGTGCTTCCCGTGCCCATGCACATGTGCTTCCCGTGCCCATGCATATGTGCTTCGTTCCCCATGCATGTGTTCGCCCCCCCCAGGCCATGGACATCCGGCGTCTCAACAACATCATGAGCGACCATGCCATCCACACACGCACACGCCTCCTCATCCCCATCCCCCCCTCGCGCCGCCCGGCTGAGCTGGCGGGGCGGCATTGCGCCATCCAGTTTGATTCGCACGCGCGGCGGGAGGTGCTGCTGGTGTTCCAGGAGGGGGAGGAGGCGGAGATCCGGCAGGCGTATGGAGAAGCACGAAACGCCAGGTGCTTATATCGAGAGTGATTATACGGAGAGTGTTAGAAATATGTTAGTGATGCGGAGAGACTGATTATGTGAACAACTCTGCTGATTCTCTTGATAAAGGTATGATATGCATTTCTTGTATGGATTTTCTTTGGCGCCACATCACGTCTTGTGGGTGGCATCGCTTCATGTGAGTATCATCAATCATCATGCTCGCACAGGCCAAGACTATCATCAATCATCATGCGTCCAAGTTACCTAGTGTGTGTTTCTTCTTTTTGCTGGTGCCAGGCCGTTGTGTCATTATGCCATCATGTATTCTGCCATTGTATGCCATTGTACCATAACACCATGATGCCTACCTGCTTCTCGCACTCCCTCCGTCTCTCATACCCTCAGCGACATGTGGCGCTAGGCAGGTGGCTTTTTTCAGTCACTAGCAGCACTCAAATGTCATTTTGCTCCTCTTGTTACTCCACCTGCTCCCCACTCTCTCTCCCTCCCTCAGACCCTCGGCAGCACATGGCACTGCGCAGGTGGTTTCTCTGTTGCAAAGAGCCCTTCAGGTGGACGAGCCAACAGCGCAGTACTACCTGGGCGAGGCGGACGGCGATGTGCGGGCGGCAGTGGCACTGTTCATGGAGGACCAGCAGTGGGAGCGGGCGCAGGCACAGGCAGGGGAGAGGAGGAAGAGCCTTGTGATTGGCTGCAGGAGGGGGAGAGCTGATAGGTTGTAAGGTGAATTTCCTTCTATGCTTCGAGCTGTCCGCATGTGAAGCTACGCAGTGCCAAATCTGCATATTCCGCGTGATGTGATGCCTCAAGCCGCTCATGTGGAGCAAATGCAGTGCAGAAGGTGAAACGGTGGCATGTAGAGAAACGGACAGAGGGGCTCCCGGCCAGGTCCAGCAGGGCCCGGCAGCAGCAGGGTGCAGCTGAATCCTCATGGTCAAACCTAGGGAGGTCATCATGCCATGTGATCCTGTTGGATGGCCTGTATTGTCTGGGTAAAGGGTAAAGTGCCAGCTACCTAAGAGAAGCTATGCACAGGAAGCAGCAAGAGTAGTCCAACATCTGCAACGTTCAGTAATCATTCCCCATGTACGCAAAGTCCGTTGCCGACGGGGGGTAACCTCCGAAGGGGTGGTGCTGGTACTTATTGAGAACCGAACCTGTGCTCGCCTGCAGACTGTGCGGGCCTGCTCACGCTGGTGGACAAGGGAAATGCGCTTGTAGAAGCTGGTCTCAAACAATTGCGGAATGAGGTCGGATGAACCACTCAAGTCACGAAGGCGTGAAGCACCACGGCGACTGCACTCTCGAAGGAAATCCTGGAATGTCTTCCCAAAACACCCGAAAGTCTCAAAAGCAATTGCACAACAAGTTTTTGAGTACGTGAGACTTTCGACGAGTTAGGTTTGGATCCGAACCAAATTTACAAACCTAGAAGGTTCGACTACACCTAGCTATTTGGATTCGTTTAGTACCCCAACCAATCACAAACAAACTTGCACTGTCAACTGCAAAACACTTGTAGTACGTGAGACCCTGACTTTAAAGCTCGCGTCTCAAAATTTCTACCGTTTAACACTTGGTGGGGTTTGCCACTACTTGATTGGGTAACGAATGACGAAATTTGTGACGAGCGGGTGAAAAAAAAACAGCGAACTCCCAAACAGGTTTGGCCAAAACAAACCAGGGTGTGCAGGTTTGGGTAGAAGACGGGCCTTGGGGGACAGGTTTGGCCCCGCTTTCTGACGGATTGAGAGTTCAGTGTCTCATATTTCCGAGATTGTAAACGCTTGGTTTTCGCGGGGAAGTTTGCGACGCGATTTCCCAACCAACCTTACCAACCACCCCTTGCCTTTGTGTGCTTTGCGACAAAACTGGCTGTTACCGGATCCCAAGCGTTTAACACTTGGTTGGAAAGGAAAAATATGAGACGCGAGCTTTAAAGAGAAACTACAATGTCCTCATAGGTGGAAATTCGAAGCAATTCTAAGAAAGTCCCGTTTACTGGGTAAAGCGTACAACCCATTTCAGCCACAAGATGGCTACGAAACAGAGCCCCACAAAAGTCCTACAATGGAATGATTTCGCACGCGAGGAGGAAATATCAGATTCGTGAAGCGGCGACTTTATGGCAGGGCTTTCCTGTTCTTTTTGGTCACACTGCGAGGATCAGAAGATTCGGGCAAACAACAAAGTCCTTCAGTGTAGGGGGTTCACGGTTGGAAGCCGTGCTTAGGCTAGTTTCCTGGTCATGTATTCTTTCAATAGGGTATTTCAAGACATCAGCGTAGTTCCCTGAGTGGAGATCGGATCGTCACTAGTGTAGGAATTACAACTTGTGAGGATGAAGTTTCACAGGAATTTACTGTGCAGAATTCTCTGCCGGGATCTTATTCTCAAACTTTTAAGGTTCATCATACACTCTGTAGGCAGCTCCCAGCGGCGGTTCTGAGGTGATGGGGCAGCCGCGTGGCAGCATGAGAATGTGAATTGTGGCGGAACGGTAGAGCGTTCGATCGATCTATACGTGGCCGTGAGCGAAAGATTCGACGGTGCAGCCACCAGAGCCACCCGTTAGGACCAGAGGGATTTGGTTCATGTTACGGAGCCAGAGACATGGCTCCAAGCGCCACACTTGAATGAGCAGCAGAAGCTGCCATGAGTGAGCGAAGGGTTTGCTTGTTTGTCTCACCCGCTGAGCAGAAGCACAGCAGCAACAGCAGCCACGAGTTCAAGAGGATGCGCTCAGTGCCACGTCTCTTGATCGTTCCTTGGTTGAGATCCAGGAACCGTTTTTTAGGGTTTGGTTTGTAAGGTGTCTATTGTTTCAAATCCCAACTAATATCTTCTAGTACAGAATGGAATATTTGTGAAGTCGCGATCTGAGGGTTTGCGTGTGAGAGTCCGAAGTCTCAAATGGAGGAGTAATGAAGCAAAGCTACCTCAGATTGGATTTACAAGCCTTGCTTTGAGGTAGACTTGGTCACGCGTCGCTCTCGCTTTCAGTCAGCTTTCGTCTTGGTCAGATTGTCGAGGCATTGAACAGCACAAACGGAGAACCCTGTGTAGCTATCGCTGGCGAAAAAAACGAGAATTTATTCAGTTAATAAAGTACAATACTGTATCAAATGAACCGCCGTCACGATCTTGCGCCACGCCGGCTGGAGCCGTATGCCTCGGTAGGATCATGCGACACTGAACCCAATTCCAAGGCTGACTGTTCTCGCGATTTTCTGCCAGATCGTTAACCCGACGTTCGATTGAATGACATAGTACAGTTTTGAGGCGCCTCATACGTTGGAGAGAGCGGCATAGTACAGTGAAAGCCTGGCCGTTTATACTTCGCTGCTGGTTGGCAGGTTTAACGAAGCGAATTGCTAGGAGCGACCCACCAATTGGCCTCTAGAAAGGAAATCAACCTTAGCTTCTCACAGCCGATCGAGGGCCCGCTGTGGGCCTTCTGACCGGTCTCCTTGCGCGTGCCGAGCACATGCCTTCATCCCGATCACCCACTCCGCCATCCGCCAATTCCCCCTCTCGTCCCGCCTCCTCCCCCGTCCCCGGCCCCCCACCCTCTTCCCTCCGCCCGCTCACGCTTCTGGCTCCCCCCTCCCCCGCCGCGCAATTGCCTTCCGCGGGGCAACCTCCCCCCGCGCCAATTACGCTCCTCCCATCCCTGCGCAACCTCCCCGGTCCATCCTTCCCCAAGTCCCCCTCCCCGCCGTCAGACGACCCACCATGTCTCCCCGCCGACCCCGGCACCACGCTTCACTTGGTTTCCACCACCACCGCGCTCTCCCCCGCGCTGCTCCCTTCCGTTCCGCCGCCCGACCCCCCCGCGCGCCGCATTAGCCCGCCGCTGCCCCGTCGGATGCGCAACATCAGTCACGTAGCTCCGCGCGAGGGGTCGCTATCGCGGCAGCTGCTGCGGCAGCACGTGCAGCGGGAGCAGCAGCGCAGCAAGTGCCAGCGGCAGCAGCAGCAGGAGGTTTTGCTCAGCCAGTGACGCCGCCAGCAGCAGCACGATCTCGCCGCCGCCGCCGCCGCCGCTGCCACAGCTTCCCCTCCCGCTTCTGCTCCCGCTCCCGCTCCCGCTTCCGCTTCCGCCGTTGCCTCCGCCTCCGCCTTCCCGCCTGCCACAGCTGCGCCAGGCGTGGGTACGGGGGGGAGGGAGGCGGCAGGAGGGGCAGAGGGCGAACGGGTATTTACTTTCATCGGTCGGCGATCGGCTGTAGTCGGTGAGGGTGTAGGGGACGCACTGGTGGGGATCAGGGCTGACGCAGCTGATCAATTTGTGGCACCTGAAGCACCTGACACGGCACCTGAAGCAGCACCTGACGCGGCACCTGACGCAGCACCTGACGCGGCAACTGACGCAGCACCTGACGCACCTATGGACATGGATCCGTCGCAGCAGCACCTGAGAGAGACCCGGCCGGGGGAAGGTCTCAGTGACGCGGATCTCGACCCCCGCGCGCGCCTTATGCGCCCGCCGGCTCCGCCGTCCGCCAGCCGTGGCGGGGCGGAAGGCGGGATGGCGCGGGAGCGCGTGAGACTGATGGGCGCGGTACTGCGGGCTGCGCCTGGCGCGCACGCGGCGGGCGGTGGGGCGGAAGGCGGAAGAGTAGGCGCGGGAGCAGTGAGATTCGCGGATGGGGTGGGCGAGGGGAACGGTCAAGCGCAATGGCTACCGGCGGGTGGGGACGAGGGGGTGGGGGACGGGGTGGAGGACAACGAGGCGCGCCGGAAGCGCGCGCGGACGGAACGGCAGGGCGGAGAGGGCGCGGCAGGCGCGGTGGGTGAGATGGGTTATGGCGGGGCATGGCGGGGGGAGCAGGATAGGGGCGGAAGTGCGGGATTGGGGGGATTGCAATATGAGGGGCAAGGGGCTGGGCAAGGATGGCCGGGGGAGGATGAGCGGAAGCCGGCGCAGGATCAGGCGCGCGAGCAGGGACAGGGGGAACAGGGGGAGCCAGGGGAGGAAGAAGGAGGGGAGGAGCAGGCTCAGGAGCAAGAGCAGGCGCAAGAGCAGGAGCGGGAGCAGGAAGGGGAGGAGGTAGGGGGGGAGGATGAGGGGGAAGGCGCGAGCATTCGGCAGCGGCTGCTGCAGCAGCACAGGCAGATGCTGGCGGCGGCGCAGCACTCGCTGCTCATGCGCGGAGGCGGGGAGGGCGCGGAGGGCGCGCACGGCGGAGTGGACCTTCTGCAGCAGCAGCGCCAGCTGCAGCGCCAGTACTTGCGCCTGCTGCAGCGGGACATGCGCGCGCAGCTTAACAGGGGGACGCCCGGGGGAGGCAGGGGGCGGGGCGGAGCGCTGGGGGCGGACGGGCGCGCGGGTGTAGCAGGCGCAGGGGGAGTTGGGGGACAGGAGAGGATGTGGGCGGTAGCTGGGGCCGCGGCTGGGCGGCGGGGGCAACAGGGGCAGGTGGGGCATCAGGGACAGGTGGGGCAGCAGGCAGCAGATACAGCTGGCAGGATAATATCGTCTCCAGTCGTAGTAGCAGGAGCACCGTCGGCAGCAGCGCCAGCAGCAACGGCAGCAGCGGCAGCAGCGCCAGTGCGGGCAGTTTCCCCCCCAGGCGGCGTGAGAGGCGAGGCGGCGCAGCGGGTGGCGGCAGGGGGGTGGCGGCGGGACGTGCTGGGGGACGGGGTTGCGCGCGCGGATGCAAGGCGGGCAGGCAGCGGTGTGGATGAAGGGGCTGGAGAGGAGGCAGGGGCGGAGGCGGAGGGGGCGGCGGAGGCTGAGGGGGAAGGGGAAGCGGGGTGGGAGCAAGGAGAGGGGCGGGATGACGGGGGAGAGGGCATGGGCGCGGAGGTGTGGAACGAGCCAGCTGCTGCGGGGTGGGGGCAAATGATGGGTGAGACCCGCGCAGCAGTGATGGGCGAGACCCGCGCAGCAGTGATGGGCGAGACCCGCGCAGCAGTGATGGGCGAGACCCGCGCAGCAGTGATGGGCGAGACCCGCGCAGCAGTGATGGGCGAGACCCGCGCAGCAGTGATGGGCGAGACCCGCGCAGCAGTGATGGGCGAGACCCGCGCAGCAGTGATGGGCGAGACCCGCGCAGCAGTGATGGGCGAGACCCGCGCAGCAGTGATGGGTGCTGCAAGGCCACTGGTGGGTGAGCCTGCGCGGGCGGCGGAGGGGTGGTTCCACCCGGTTGTGCAGGCGGATATACGGCGCAGGGCGCAGCAAGGGGGTGCCGCTGCTGGCGCAGCTGCAGGTGGCGCTGTTGGTGTGGCTGGTGCTGCGGGCGGTGGTGATGCTTATGGTGGTGGTAATGGTGGTTTCGAGGAGGAGGCAGGAGAAACGGGCTGGGGGGAGCGCGAGGGAGCAAGGGTGGCGCATGGGGCGCATGGGGGGGCACATGGGGCGCATGGGGCGCATCCCGCGCCTGCTGTACCCTCAGAGCGTGTGCTTGTAACGGGGCCGTTCCTCTTTTCGACGCAGCAGCTGGGGGGGCGCGCGGAAGAGGGGCTCCGCAGCAACTCTAACGTTTGTGCGCCCCCCCGCGCGGGGGGCATGGGCGCAGGCGTGGGGGAGCGCACGGGGAGCTCGCTGGACGAGACTGAGGAATCGGAGGGGAGTGGCGGAGGCGCGGGGGAAGGGGGAGGCGGAGGGGGAGGGGGAGGGGGAAGGGCGCGGGAGACGGAGAGGGAGGAGTTGGGGAGAGGAGAGGGGGGAGGGAGGGGCAGGGCGGGGCAGGGGAGTCGGTTGGCGGTGGTGTGCGGGGTGGCGCGAGGGGGAAAGGGGGAAGGGAGGCAGATGGGAGGCAGGGATGCGGAGCAACGGAAAGCGGGGGAGGGGAGAGTGCAGGGCGGCAATGCGTCAGGCAGTGGCGCAGGTGGCGCTGGTGGTGGCGGAAGGGCGGCTGGCGCTGCTGGCGCAGGTGGTGATGTGGGCATTGGTCATGGCGGAGGGCCAACAGCGGCAGGCCGGGCAGGAGTGGCAGCAGGGGTAGCAATGCCGCAGGCGCCACTGGCAGCAGGCCCCAGGCAGCTGCAGCAGCAGCAGCAGCAGCAGCAGCAGCAGCAGCAGCAGCAGCAGCAGCAGCAGCAGCAGCAGCAGCAGCAGCAGCAATGGCAGCAGCAACCGCAGCAACAGCAGCACTGCCACGAGCCTTTGCCGCCACCGCCACCCCCACATCAGCAGTTGAGGCAAACGCATGGGATGGTGGAGAGAGGAGCAGCAGGCGGGGCAGCAGCAGCAGCAGCAGCAGCAGCTGTTGCTGCTGGTGCGCCTGGGAGAGGCAGAGATGGAGGCCCAGCCACTCTACCCACCACCGCCCTCTCCTCCGCACTTCAACCACCCTTCCTCCGCCACCCTCCTCCCCACCTCCCCCACACACCATCCGCACCCGCCACTCTTCAACCCCCAGCCCCTCCCCCCGTCCGCGCTGCAGCAACCCCCTCCCCTCCGCCCCCGCACCTCCCCTCACCACCCGCCATGCCGCCTCCCAGGCTGGACCCACCAGCAGCCGCGCCTCAACCCAGGGTAGACTCGTCCTCTATCACACCTCAACCGTTACTGTCGCTGCGGCGCTGGTTGAACCGGGCAGGCAGGGAGGTGGATAGGCTCGAGAGCCTGTTCCTGTTCGCGCAGGTGGTGGACATGGTCGCTGCCGCCCACACGCAGGGCCACGTGGTTCGCCACGTGCGGCCGGCGTGCTTTGTCCTGTCCGCGCACCGAAGGGTGGTGTACCACCCGCCATTCCTGCGGGCGCGAGCCGGGGAGGCGGGGGAGGGGGAAGCGGGGGAAAAGGAGGGGGAGATGGGGGAGATGGGGGAGGATGGTGGTGGAGGGCAGGCGCGGCTGCAACAGCAGCAGCAGCAACAACAGGAGGAGGAGCAGCAGCAGCAGCAACAGCAGCAGGGATGGCGGCAGCAAGAGGAGGGGGGCGGGGGCGGAGGGGCAGCAGAGGGGGCAGTGACGTGGAGGGAGCAGCAGGCGGAGGCATGGCAGCGGGCAATGCTGCAGGAGCAGGGGGAGGAGGGGATGGTGGCGCAGGGGCATCTGGGGCAGAGGCAAGTGGGAGGGAGGGGGGGGCGAGCAGCAGCAGGGCGGGGCATGGCAGGGCAGCAGCGATTAACCCCCGGTGCTGGAGGGGCAGAGGCAGGAGAACGAGGAGGAGGGGACATGCAGTGGGGAGGGGAAGGGGGAAGGGCAGGGGGAGAGGGGGGGAGGGCGGAGGAGGAGGAGGTGCGGTGGTACACGTCACCGGAGGAGGCAAGGGGCGACCCTGTGGGGGCGGCGTCTGACGTGTTCAAGCTGGGCGTGCTGTTCTTCGAGGTGAGGCTCTTCTTGAGGTGAGGCTCTTCTTGAGGTGAGGCTCTTCTTGAGGTGAGGCTCTTCTTGAGGTGAGGCTCTTCTTAAGGTGAGGCTCTTCTTGAGGTGAGGCTCTTCTTGAGGTGAGGCTCTTCTTGAGGTGCGGCTCTTCTTGAGGTGAGGCTCTTCTTGAGGTGCGGCTCTTCTTAGAAAGTTGGGAGCTGGCTGCTTGCACCCTCAACAATGGTGCTTGCACGTGCGTCTCCTGCCATGCAATTTCATCGCATCTCTCTTGTCTACCTCTCTAACGGTCTACCTCGCATCGCATCTATCATTGAATCATCGTCGACCGCTCTGTCTCTTCTCATTCCACTCCCCCTCTCCCGCTCTTTCTTCTCCCCACACACCCGTCCTCTCCCCGTCCCTCTCGCCCTTAGCTCTTCTGTCCCTTTACCAGCGCCACGGAGAGAAGCATGATAATGGCGGACCTCTGCCATCGCATCCTTTTGTCTCGCGCTCTCGCTCTCTGCTCACTCCCCCTCCCATCACCCCCTCTTCCCCCCCTTTACCTCCAGCTCTTCTGTCCATTCACCAGCGCCGCGGAGAGAAGCATGATAATGGCGGACCTCTCTCATCGCATCCTGCTTGTCTCACTCTCTTCCTCTCTGCCCACTCCCCTCCCCATCTGCCCCACTCACCCCATCCGCTTCCCCCCTCCAGCTCTTCTGTCCCTTCACCAGCGCCACGGAGCGAAGCATGATCATGGCGGACCTCTGCCATCGCATCTTGCCGCCGCGCCTGCTCTCCCATCGCCCCAAGGAGGCTGCTTTCTGTCTCTGGCTGCTGCACCCGCAGCCCGCCGCACGCCCCACTGCCTCGTAAGCACCTTTACATCCCCCACCCCGCGCCGTCACCCGCCCCAACTCCTTCATCCCCCTCACCCCGCCACCCCTTGACACCCCCCCTCCGCTGACGCCCTCCCCCCCTTGACGGTCCCCCCTTTAAACTCATGTTCTTGACACTGTCGTGTTCCATCTTCCACACATGTTCCCCCCCCACTTCTTCCCCCCCATCCATGCAGGGAGGTGCGCAGCAGCCAGCTCTTAGCTGACGTGGCGAGCATGTTTGCGCACAGGGGGCAGCAGGCGGGGCTAGAAGCACAGGAGGCGGAGTGCGACGTGCTGCCTGCCTTCCTCTCCACTCATTTCAACTACTATCTTGTTCCGTCTTCCCTGCCTGTTCTCTCAGGGAGGTGCGCAGCAGTCAACTTCTGGCAGATGTAGCGAGCATGTTCGCCCACAGGGGGCAGCAGGCGGGCCTAGAGGCACAGGAGGCGGAGTGCGACGTTCTGCTCGCCTTCCTCTCGCGAATCCACCTCGCCAAGCAGTCTGCCGCCCAGAAACTCGCCCTGGATCTTGGGCGGCTCACTGGGGACATCCACGAGGTGCACCGCAGGCGGGCGGCGGTGATGGGCGGCCAGCAGGCGCACGGGCGGCACGTGCACGGGCAGCAGGGGCAAGGGCGGCAGGTGCACGCACATGGATCGGGGCAGTCTCAGAGGCAGCAGGGGCAGTCTCAGGCGCAGTCTCAGCCGCTCATGCTGCCGGCCCCGTCAGCACAGACGGTAGAGGAGCGGGAAGGCGGCAGAGGGGGTCGCAGGGAGGGTGGCTGGGAGGGTGGGAGGGAGGGTGGGAGTGACATGAGCGGAGGGGCAGAGAGGGACCTGTGGGGTGCCTTTTCCCCTCGCTCCCCCCGCCCTGGGCTCATCCCAGGCTCTCATGCCGCTGCTACTGCTGCTGCTGACATGAGTGGAGTGGTGAGCATGGGTGGGGGAGGGCGAGAGACGAGAGGGAGGTGGCCGGCAGGTGAAGCGGAGGAGGCACGAGAAGGGGCACGGGAAGGGGCACGAGAAGGGGCACGAGAGGGGGCACGGCATTTCCCTTCATCTGTTCCTGCCGGTGCTGCTGGCGTTACTGCTGCTCCATTCGGCATGGGACGGCCGCGGGGGGCGAGGAGGAGCGTGCGGTTACTGCGTAACCTGGACCGGTTGGAAGAGGTGTATTTCGCCATGCGCTGGAGAGTAGAGGCGGCCAATGGGGGACCTGTTGGGAGGGGTGCCGGTGCCACCGCCTCTGCCGCCGCTGCTGCTGCTGCCGCTCTGCCTGCGAATGATGCTGCCGTGCCGCTTGCTGCTCCTCGCGCTGCTGCTGCTGGCGCCGGTGTTGGTGGTGGTGGTCGCGGTGATGGTGGCAGTAGTGCTGGCCGTGCAGGTGGGATTGATGGTGGCGGTGGTGGTGGCAGTGTTGGGGGGGATGATGAGTCAAGTCAGGGTGTGGTGAGGCCAAGAGAGGTGGCGGAAGGGGGAGCAGAGGACAGGAGAGGCGAAGGCACAGGCTCAGAGGCGGAGGCAGGGCAGGTCGGGGCAGCAGCACCTGCTTCGACTGCTGCTGGGGGGGCAGTGTTTGGTGCAGGACGGGAAGCAGCAGGTGGGGCAGCAGCACCAGCAACAGCAGCAGGGAGAGCAGGAGGACCCATGGCAGCACCACAGCAGCAGCAGCAGCAGCAGCATCTGCACGAGCAGCAGCAGGGAGGCGCGGAGGGCAGCAGGGACCTACTGGGCGAGTTCTTCGACTCGCTGTGCAAGTTCGCCCGCTACTCGCGCTTCGAGGTGCGCGCCACGCTGCGCCACGCGCACCTCCTCAACGCGGCCTCCATGGTCTGCTCCCTCGCCTTCGACCGCGACGCGCAGTTCTTCGCCACGGGCGGCGTCTGTCGGCGCATCCGGATCTTCGAGTGCGAGAGCGTGCTGGCCGGGCGGCGAGTGGACGTGCACTATCCGGTGGTGGAGATGGGGTGCCGGGCCAAGCTGTCGTGTGTGAGCTGGAACGGGTATATCAAGAACCGGCTTGCTTCAGCGGATTATGACGGGGTTGTACAGGTGAGCAGTGGGGGTGGAGAAGGGGAACGTGCGTGCATGACACCAAGTGGACGTGCGTTACCCCGTGGTGGACATGGGGTGCCGGGCGAGGCTTTCTTGTGTGAGCTGGAACGGGTATATCAAGAATTGACTCGCCTCTGCTGACGGAGTGGTGCAGGTGAGCATTGAGGTGGGAGGAGAGTGAGAATTGGGGGTTTGGAGTGGAAGCATGGGGCAATAGCGTGATGGGTTGCCAGGCCAAGCTGTCGTGTGTGAGCTGGAACAGGTCTATCAAGAATCGGCTGGCGTCTGCGGACTAGGATGGGGTTGTGCAAGTGAGCAGTGGGGGGCGGGCGGAGAGTGGAGGAAGAGCATCGGGGATTAGGAGTGGGAGCATGGGGCAATAAGATGGTCGGGTGTCGGGCCAAGCTGTCGTGTGTCGGGCCAAGCTGTCGTGTGTCGGGCCAAGCTGTCGTGTGTCGGGCCAAGCTGTCGTGTGTCGGGCCAAGCTGTCGTGTGTCGGGCCAAGCTGTCGTGTGTCGGGCCAAGCTGTCGTGTGTCGGGCCAAGCTGTCGTGTGTCGGGCCAAGCTGTCGTGTGTCGGGCCAAGCTGTCGTGTGTCGGGCCAAGCTGTCGTGTGTCGGGCCAAGCTGTCGTGTGTCGGGCCAAGCTGTCGTGTGTCGGGCCAAGCTGTCGTGTGTCGGGCCAAGCTGTCGTGTGTCGGGCCAAGCTGTCGTGTGTCGGGCCAAGCTGTCGTGTGTCGGGCCAAGCTGTCGTGTGTCGGGCCAAGCTGTCGTGTGTCGGGCCAAGCTGTCGTGTGTCGGGCCAAGCTGTCGTGTGTCGGGCCAAGCTGTCGTGTGTCGGGCCAAGCTGTCGTGTGTCGGGCCAAGCTGTCGTGTGTCGGGCCAAGCTGTCGTGTGTCGGGCCAAGCTGTCGTGTGTCGGGCCAAGCTGTCGTGTGTCGGGCCAAGCTGTCGTGTGTCGGGCCAAGCTGTCGTGTGTCGGGCCAAGCTGTCGTGTGTCGGGCCAAGCTGTCGTGTGTCGGGCCAAGCTGTCGTGTGTCGGGCCAAGCTGTCGTGTGTCGGGCCAAGCTGTCGTGTGTCGGGCCAAGCTGTCGTGTGTCGGGCCAAGCTGTCGTGTGTCGGGCCAAGCTGTCGTGTGTCGGGCCAAGCTGTCGTGTGTCGGGCCAAGCTGTCGTGTGTCGGGCCAAGCTGTCGTGTGTCGGGCCAAGCTGTCGTGTGTCGGGCCAAGCTGTCGTGTGTCGGGCCAAGCTGTCGTGTGTCGGGCCAAGCTGTCGTGTGTCGGGCCAAGCTGTCGTGTGTCGGGCCAAGCTGTCGTGTGTCGGGCCAAGCTGTCGTGTGTCGGGCCAAGCTGTCGTGTGTCGGGCCAAGCTGTCGTGTGTCGGGCCAAGCTGTCGTGTGTCGGGCCAAGCTGTCGTGTGTCGGGCCAAGCTGTCGTGTGTCGGGCCAAGCTGTCGTGTGTCGGGCCAAGCTGTCGTGTGTCGGGCCAAGCTGTCGTGTGTCGGGCCAAGCTGTCGTGTGTCGGGCCAAGCTGTCGTGTGTCGGGCCAAGCTGTCGTGTGTCGGGCCAAGCTGTCGTGTGTCGGGCCAAGCTGTCGTGTGTCGGGCCAAGCTGTCGTGTGTCGGGCCAAGCTGTCGTGTGTCGGGCCAAGCTGTCGTGTGTCGGGCCAAGCTGTCGTGTGTCGGGCCAAGCTGTCGTGTGTCGGGCCAAGCTGTCGTGTGTCGGGCCAAGCTGTCGTGTGTCGGGCCAAGCTGTCGTGTGTCGGGCCAAGCTGTCGTGTGTCGGGCCAAGCTGTCGTGTGTCGGGCCAAGCTGTCGTGTGTCGGGCCAAGCTGTCGTGTGTCGGGCCAAGCTGTCGTGTGTCGGGCCAAGCTGTCGTGTGTCGGGCCAAGCTGTCGTGTGTCGGGCCAAGCTGTCGTGTGTCGGGCCAAGCTGTCGTGTGTCGGGCCAAGCTGTCGTGTGTCGGGCCAAGCTGTCGTGTGTCGGGCCAAGCTGTCGTGTGTCGGGCCAAGCTGTCGTGTGTCGGGCCAAGCTGTCGTGTGTCGGGCCAAGCTGTCGTGTGTCGGGCCAGGCTGTCGTGTGTCGGGCCAGGCTGTCGTGTGTCGGGCCAAGCTGTCGTGTGTCGGGCCAAGCTGTCGTGTGTCGGGCCAAGCTGTCGTGTGTCGGGCCAAGCTGTCGTGTGTCGGGCCAAGCTGTCGTGTGTCGGGCCAAGCTGTCGTGTGTCGGGCCAAGCTGTCGTGTGTCGGGCCAAGCTGTCGTGTGTCGGGCCAAGCTGTCGTGTGTCGGGCCAAGCTGTCGTGTGTCGGGCCAAGCTGTCGTGTGTCGGGCCAAGCTGTCGTGTGTCGGGCCAAGCTGTCGTGTGTCGGGCCAAGCTGTCGTGTGTCGGGCCAAGCTGTCGTGTGTCGGGCCAAGCTGTCGTGTGTCGGGCCAAGCTGTCGTGTGTCGGGCCAAGCTGTCGTGTGTCGGGCCAAGCTGTCGTGTGTCGGGCCAAGCTGTCGTGTGTCGGGCCAAGCTGTCGTGTGTCGGGCCAAGCTGTCGTGTGTCGGGCCAAGCTGTCGTGTGTCGGGCCAAGCTGTCGTGTGTCGGGCCAAGTTGTCGTGTGTCAGCTGGAACGGGTATGTCGAGAATCGGCTCGCGTCTGCGGACTAGGATGGGGTGGTTCAGGTGAGCTTTGGGGGGGTTGGGTGGGAGCAGTGGGATGGTGGGGTGCCGTATCAAGAACCGGCCGGCTTCGGCGGATTATGACGGGGTTGTGCAGGTGAGCATTGGGAAGAGGGAGAGGGGTTGAGTGGAGGTTGAGAGTTGGGGGTTTGGAAAGGGAGCAGGGGGCAGTGGTGGAGATGGGGTGTCGGGCCAAGCTGTCGTGTGTGTGTGTGAGCTGGAATGGGTACATTAAGATCATGGGGGGCAGCTGCCTTGGGCTGGGCTCGGCAGCGAGTGATGGAGTTGAGCAGGTGAGCATGGGGGTGATGGAGTTGAGCAGGTGAGCATGGGGGTGATGGAGTTGAGCAGGTGAGCATGGGGGTGATGGAGTTGAGCAGGTGAGCATGGGGGTGATGGAGTTGAGCAGGTGAGCATGGGGGTGATGGAGTTGAGCAGGTGAGCATGGGGGTGATGGAGTTGAGCAGGTGAGCATGGGGGTGATGGAGTCGAGCAGGTGAGCATGGGGGTGATGGAGTCGAGCAGGTGAGCATGGGGGTGATGGAGTTGAGCAGGTGAGCATGGGGGTGATGGAGTTGAGCAGGTGAGCATGGGGGTGATGGAGTTGAGCAGGTGAGCATGGGGGTGATGGAGTTGAGCAGGTGAGCATGGGGGTGATGGAGTTGAGCAGGTGAGCACGGGGGTGATGGAGTTGAGCAGGTGAGCATGGGGGTGATGGAGTTGAGCAGGTGAGCATGGGGGTGATGGAGTTGAGCAGGTGAGCATGGGGGTGATGGAGTTGAGCAGGTGAGCATGGGGGTGATGGAGTTGAGCAGGTGAGCACGGGGGTGATGGAGTTGAGCAGGTGAGCATGGGGGTGATGGAGTTGAGCAGGTGAGCATGGGGGTGATGGAGTTGAGCAGGTGAGCACGGGGGTGATGGAGTTGAGCAGGTGAGCATGGGGGTGATGGAGTTGAGCAGGTGAGCATGGGGGTGATGGAGTTGAGCAGGTGAGCATGGGGGTGATGGAGTTGAGCAGGTGAGCATGGGAGTGATGGAGTTGAGCAGGTGAGCACGGGGGTGGGGGTGGGGGATGCGGTCACGTGGGCAGCAGTAATGGATTGGGAAGAGAACGAGAATCGAGTTTGGAGCGTTACTTGAGTGACTTGATTCCACTGACCTTTCCTTTTGAACGGTATTTCATTAGAATAGGCGGTCAATACAGTGCATTTATGAATTTCCCCACTTGTTTCCTCCCGTCACCACCCCAGCTGTGGGATGCGGGCACGGGAGCGGCGGTGATGGAGTGGGGGGAGCATGAGAAGCGGGCGTGGAGTGTGGACTTCTCCCCCTGCGACCCCACGCGCCTCGCCAGTGGCAGCGACGATGGCACTGTCAAGCTGTGGAGCATCAACCAGGTGGGGCGGCAACTAGGTAAGGTGTGATCTGACCCAGGTGCAGGTGTGGTACTGACTGTGCGAAGCACCTGGGGCGGGCTTATTGTGCTTCTTGTTGAGTGCATGAAGCGGGCGTGGAGTGTGGACTTCTCTCCCTGCGACCCCACGCGCCTCGCCAGTGGCAGCGACGACGGCACTGTCAAGCTGTGGAGCAGCAATCAGGTAGGGCTTGCTGACTGGTCCGAGCAATTTTGACCAATCAGGCATGGTTTTGAGTGCATGAGCATTGTGAGCCTCAAGCACATAGTGTGTCGACCAGGCGGGGCTTTTGCCGTTTCCCATCGTCCACTCACCTCCTCTCCCCATTTTCACCTCTCCCCCCCTTTCCCTCTCAGGACACGAGCGTGGGCACCATCCACACCAAGGCCAACGTGTGCTCCGTGGCCTTCCCCCCGCACTCCTCGCACCTGCTCGCCCTCGGCTCGGCCGACTACTCGCTCCACTGCTTCGACCTGCGCTCGCTCCGCGCGCCCCTCGCCACGCTCACGGGCCACAGCAAGGCTGTCAGCTACGTGAAATTCGTCGATGCTTCGACAATCGTCTCTGCCTCAACAGACAACACTCTGAAGCTGTGGGACTTGAACCAAGCGTGCAGTCAGCAGGCGGGGGGAGGGGCTGATGGGGCCTCTGCTTGCACGAGGACGTTCACGGGGCACACAAATGAGAAGGTGGGTGGTTCTTAAGGGTTCATGTGTCTGCCCCTACGGACAATACTCTCAAGCTGTGGGACCTCAACAGCGCGTGCAGTCAGCAGGCGGGGGGGGGAGTGGGGCGGATGGGGGCTCTGCGTGCAGGAGGACGTTCACGGGGCACACCAATGAGAAGGTGGGGTGTGGCGGTGTATGGTATGGTATGGTGTGGCTTCTGTAGCTGGTGGGGCACCAAGTGCTGTTACGTCCGCTGCTCCTGTCACGACCACCTGTTCGTTTATAACTCACTTGTTCTCATGCCAGGGTTATTATTTCGCCTGTTTCTTGCTTCTTCGCTCATTCATCTCTCGCTTGTCACCTTCTATCTCTCCTGTCCCTCTCCCGACCACACATCGCGTCCCCCTCAGCTCTCGTGTCGCTCTGTCTCGGCGGAATCACGTGGGGCTCACTGCAGCTGGTGGTTACGAGTTTTGAGGCGCCGAACAACTCCCCGCCGCACAACTCCCCTCCGACCTCACATCGCAATCTCCCATCTCCCGTGTCTCCTCTCCTGGCAGGGCGTGGTGGGGCTCAGTCAGTGTTGGTCATCCGCCTGTAGCGTTGCTCATTCCTCATGTCCCGTGCTGCTCCCCGTGCCTCCCGTGTCTCCCTGTCCCGGCAGAACCTTGTGGGGCCCACCCCACGGTTGCTGATGGCTACATGGCATGCAGCTCACTCTTCCTGTCTCGCACCTCTCCTCTCTGACCTCGCGTCGTGCTCCCCCCACCTCCCATCTCTCCCTATCCCGGCAGAATTTTGTTGGGCTCACTGTGGCTGATGGCTACATCGCATGCGGCTCCGAAACCAATGAGGTATGCGCTGTGCTCATGAGGACTGGTCTTCCTTGCGTGCCTTGAGCCGTGCCGTGCGGCATTCTCTGTCCCGACTCCCCTCCACCACTCCTTGTGTGCGCCACCATCCCGTTCTGCCTCACTCATTTGAGGCGCCTCAAAACCCGTTGTGCCTCTCACTGTTGTTCCACGATCCGACATCTGCAATCCATTTCACCGTCCATTTGTGCCCAATCATACACCCCCTCTCCGCCTGTCTCCGATCCATCTCCCTCCCCATCACCGCTCCTCTCCCAGGTGTTTGCGTTCCACAAGTCGCTGCCAATGCCTATGGCAGCACACCGCTTTGGGGGGGTTGATCCGGTCACAGGCGCGGACACGGAGGAGGACGCGGGGCAGTTTGTGTCGAGCGTTTGCTGGCGGGGGGACTCGCAGACACTCGTTGCTGCCAACTCCACTGGCAACATTAAACTGCTCGAGATGGTGTGATGGGTGGGGAGAGAGGAGAGCTGTCTGCTTGTGGGAATGGTGTGAGAGGCGCTGACATGGAGAAGGGGGAGATGCAGTGGTGTGACAGGTGCCGACAGGGAAGAGAACGCGGGGCAGTTTGTGTCGAGCGTGTGCTGGCGGGGGAAGTCTCAGACACTCGTTGCTGCGAATTCAACGAGATGGTGTTGTAAGTGGGGGGAGAAGTGGGCGGAGGGGTGGGGGGAGGGGTAGGGGGAGTGGGTGGGAATGCACGTATGGGAGTGGTGTGAGGGGCGCTGACAAGGAGGAAGGGGGGATGCAGCGATGGGAATCCCACTGGGGATACCAAAATGCTGGAGGTTGTGTGATGGGGAGTGTTGGAAGTTAGAGACTCTCAGCCTTGCAGGGGTGAAGGGTGGGGTGTGGAAAGCAAGCTTGGAGGGTGATACACGAAGGGACGACGAGGAGGATTCAGGAGGGCACATGCACCAGCTGCTGCTGCTGCTGTAAATTCCACCAGCAATGTAAAGCTGCTAGAGATTGGTGGCAGGTGCTTCTTCTCAAAAGTCCTCCAATTGCTGGTTGGATGCCGATTCTGCACCTTCTAGGGTTGTAGGCGTGTATGGTATGGTTTAGCTAGGTTGTGTCGTTGGCAACGATTTTCAAGAATGGTAAAATTATTTTGTGCAGTATAGCTTTGTAACGAAATGATTGCGGAGTATCTTATTACCAGCCTGAATTGATCCACTGCAGCACCACAAGCCTTGACACAAAAATATGCTGAAACTTCTAGTATATGCTGTCTATCTGCTGCACACTGTACTAGATTTACTCGCTCAACAAAAAGAGACATGCAGATATCGAACCTCGGAAACCCCACCCACTCACTTTCGCTCCTACATTTCCTTGCTCTCCCTCCTCTCGCTCCTTTCCATTCCGCTCCCTCTCTTTATTCGCCTCTTCCCGTAGCCCGTCCTTACCATCGTCCTCTTAGCCTTCCCGTACCCTTCTGCCACTCCGCCGCTAATCTACCGCTGGTTTCTTTCGCCAGCCTTCCGCCAATTTTCCGCCGGTCTTCCGCCGATCCCCCGCCCAGTCCGCCGCCAGGCGCCATGAGTGCGGAGGAGCTGCAGCCGCCGCGCGTGCTGCCGACGGTGCCGGAGACGGTGCTGAAGAAGCGGAAGAAGGACGAGCAATTCGCGGCGGAGAAGCGTGAGCAATTCCTGCAGAAGCACGCGCACCGCGGGAAGCGCGGAAAGGCGGAGAAGCGCTTCAAGCGCCCAGAGGACTTTGTGCTCGCGTTCCGCCGGAGGGTGCGTGCGCGCGGGGGGTTCAGCATGCGCGGTTGCGGATTCCTCCGGCCGGAGTTTTCTCATTTTTTAGTCAACGCAACCTTCTGTCATACTGTTTCAGCATTCTATTAGAAAATGCTTGACCGGGTTTCGCGGACCAGCGGCGCGCCACTCACGCCGCAACTCACGCGTGGGGAGGGAAGGGTACGCGCGCGCCAGCTCGACGGACTGATGATCTTGCGGATATTAGCGAAAAAGTGTCGCACGTTTAGGACAGGCTCGGCGTGTACAGCCTTACACTTGGGTTACCCTTATGCAAGGCTCGGTGCGCAGGGGGGGGGGTTATGAATAACTCGCTGGACCGAGTTGGAGATCAGGGTTGAGGGTTGCATGTTTCGGGTTTAACGTGCCAGCAGTCGGTGGATGCTGATGACTGGGAGGGTGGTGATGACTGCCCCTGGTTCGAAAACCAGGGTTTTAGAATCTAGGGCATAGGGGTTCGGGTTTTGGTGACGACTGGTTTTCTCCCACCCACCCCTCCCTCCTGTCCGTTCTCCTTGCAACGGGAGCGACGCTCGTGGCTGGTAAAACGTGATGGGGCAACGCGCGGTTTCGGGGTTAGGCGTTTGAGTCAAGTTCTCCGCTATTCCCCCCTCCCTCCCTTTCCCCGCGCGCTTCCGCTTCCGCTTTCCCACGTCCGCGCAACAGGAGCGCGATGCTAAGCGCGTGCGCGCGGACCGGGTGGTGGGGCGGCGGGTGCAGCTGAAGCCTGTGGTGGCGGGCGGGGGGAGCGCGGCGCAGCGGAGGCTGGCGCGGCGGAAGCTGAAGGCGGCGCAGAAAGCGGCGGAGCGGATAAGCGCGGGGAAGGGGGAGGACAAGGGGGGCGTTTTGGCGGGGACGAACCTGAAGCTGCTGTTTGCCGTGCGGATCCGCGGGTAAGTGGGGGATGGGGGAGGAGTAGGGGGGGAGTTGAATGGAGAGGGGAGAGGTGGGCGAGAGTAGAGAGTGAATGGCAGGGAGGAGTGAGGGTGAGTCTGGGGATGAGTGAGTGCTGCAGTGCATTATCACACGGCGCGCTTTGACACATATTCGCCATTGTTGCGTCAACATGGCCATTGCATGTTAATCATCTCATTTTCATTCTTTACTATCTAACCCTAGTATTCCCACTTGTATCTGTTTGCCTCTCTGTTTACCCAATCATCTCCACGTGTGTGCAGGGTGCAACACGAAATGACGAAGCAGTCGCGGAGTATACTCAAGATGCTCCGACTTACAGAGGTAACCACACTGCCGCCGCCGCCGCCGCCGCCACCGCTGCTGCTGCTGCTGCTGACGCGGTTAATGACTAGATCCGCGCAGGTGGCCGCCACACACGCGCCCTAATTGTCGTTCGCTCCCTCCGTCCCCTCCTTCCCTCTCCCCCCTCCTTATTCGCGCACCTCTCCCCCTACACACACACACCTCCTCCCTTTCGCTCTCTCTCCCCTCTCTCACCTTCCCCTCTGCAGCTCAACTCGGGCGTCTTCCTCCGCGCCACGGACCGCACGGCGCAAATGCTGCAACTCGTCGAGCCCTACGTCACCTTTGGGTGCGCCCTCCCTCCTTTCTGAAATGCCTCCTTCCCTCCCTCCCTCCCTCCCTCTTTCCCTCTTTCCCTCCTTCCCTCCCTCCCTCCCTCCCTCCCTCCCTCCCTCCCTCCCTCCCTCCCTCCCTCCCTCCCTCCCTCCCTCCCTCCCGCCTTTCCTCCCTCACTCCCTCACTCCCTATTGTAACACCACCACCACCCCCTTCCAATTTCCTCTCTCTCTCTCAGTTCCCACTCCTGTGTTCCGTTCCCTCCCTCTCTTTCACCCTCTCTCCCCACCCTCACTCTCTCTTGCTCTGTTCCCCCCTGTCTTCATCTCACTTTCTTTGCCCTCTCCTTTCTCCTCTCTCTCCCTCGCTCTTTTCCATACACCAGCCTTAATGTTTGCACGCTTCTCACCCTTTCGTTCCGGCTCTCTCTTTTTTCTCTCGGGTTCCTAAGCCTGCACCCACTCCCACCCACTTCCCCTCATCCTCGTTCCCCCACCACCCCCCCACACACTTCCCCCATCTTCCAGATTCCCCAACCTTTCATCAGCGCGCGCGCTCATATTGAAGCGAGGCGTGGGCGCACTTCCCTGCCTCCCCCTCCCCCCTTACCCTCCTTCCCCCATCTTCCCGCATCAACCCCCTGTATACTCCCAACCCCCCCTCAGGTTCCCCAACCTGTCATCAGTGCGCGCGCTCATAATGAAACGAGGCGTGGCACGCATACGGCAGCAAGAGGAGGGGGAAGGTGACGACGAGGGGGAGGAAGGCGAAGAGGGGGAAGACGCAGGGGAAGGGGAGGAGCAAGCGGAGGGGGATGAGGAAGCCGAGGGGGACGAGGGAGGGGAGGGAGAGACCAAAGAGGTGGAAGCAAGGGAGGGGGGAGCAGCAGAAGGGGCAGGGGGGAGTGGGGCGATGGTGGTGGGAGAGCCTAGAAAGCCGGAGGCGATGGTGGGGTGGACGGGGCCGGTAAATCCAGAGGAGGAGGCCAAGGGGTGGCGGCGAGTGCCGCTCACGGACAACGCTATTGTAGAACAGGTGAGCTTGTAGTTGTTGCCTGTTTCAGGCACTTCAGAACCTGCATGGGAAGGCAGAGGCGGTGGTGGGGGCGCCTAGGAAGGCGGAGGCGATGGTGGGGTGGATGGGGCCGGTGGATGCAGCAGAGGAGGCCAAGGGGTGGAGGCGAGTGCCCCTCACTGACAACGCTATTGTAGAACAGGTGACCTTACGTTTCTGAGATGTCTAAAAGTTGGGAGTTTTGAGCTTGACGTCTCAAAACTGGAAGGGGAACGGGGGGGATAAGGGGTGGGTGGCGGCGAGTGCCCCTCGCTGACAACATTATTATAGAGCAGGTGGGCTTTAAATCGAGTGCTGGTGCTCCATTTTTCCCCTTCATTTTCTCACACTCCTCTGCTGCTTTGCCCCACGCCCCTCGCTAATTGCTCGCTCCCTGCAGGCACTAGGCAGCACAGGCATCATCTGTATCGAGGATTTGATTCACGAGATCGCTACAGTGGGGCCGCACTTCCTGCAAGTGACTGGCTTTCTTTGGCCTTTCCGCCTCGCTGCTCCCAGGGGCAAGTTCAGCAAGGCCGGTTGGTTCAACAAGGGAGGGGAGGCTGGGAATAGGGGAGTTGAGATCAATGAGCTCATTCGCCAAATGGCATGATATTGGTGTTTGTTTGATAATGGTATTCTTTGTTATTTTGCTGCAATGATTAGATTGTGTCATTTCTTTCTAGGATGTTGCCCTTGCTGTACCTGTGAACTCCAGGCCGGAGGACCCCTGGGTCTTTCTTTATTGTAAAAAAAATAATGGAAAGGGTGTAACAATCTTATCCAACCGTTCCATGTGCGTGTAATCATTTGTAAGTGCAACACCCTAGTAAACTCACCTGCACCTATGCCTGGGGTACGATGACATATGGCCATTGAATGAACGCAATCTTCTTTTGTTGTGACGAACGGTAGCAATAGGGTGCCCATTGTTTATTTGTGCGGGAAAATAAGCTATGCAGAATGTCACAAGTATTAAGGTGTTGTGTACAGGTAAGGACACGGGCACTCGCACTGATTTCGGCGATTGAAAGTGAAATTTCGATCCGCCACCAGCCCACCGCACTGAAAACCTGCAATTACATTTTAAAACCCTTCCAACCTTTCTGAAACCTGTAAAGAAACGATCCTGCGTGGGATCGATCACGCAAATGTGGTGGGAGTGCCCGTGTCCTTACTAACGACTCCTTGTGGAGTGATTAGTAAAGCTTTTCATACCGTACATCCATACGTGATGTATTAAATATGCATGTAGCATTTTTTGCAAGAATCTTTTAATCCGAGCTTATTTCGTTATAATCTCAGTGATGGTCCCTCGCCTGGGTCAAGCTGCCAACCTATGGTGGGGCTCCATGCAATGGATGAGCGCTTCGGAAAGCGGTTCGCCCCCCGACGTGGGTGCCACGGAATGCCGGGTGGCTCCTCCCCCAACCAACCTCGGGAACTCCACTTACGGCTTTGCAATCCGTCGTCCACGCGGAGACTGCGATTCCGTGGCCGATGCGACGCTCCTCTTGACAACCACGAAATCGCGTGCGACTGTACGACCAGCCCCTCCCCCTACACCCATCAGACCTACTTCAGGGTTCGCGGGAGCTCCGCTTCCGTCGCCAGCGCAGGTACACCGACCCTACGTGCTCGAATTCCTTCGCAAGTATTCCCCTACAGCCCCCTCCATCCAGCCCCTACCAGCCCCGCCCAGCTCCCCACACCGCTCTCCCCCTCCCAAACACCCACCCCACCCCACCCACACACACTCCTCCGGGCGTAGTAGTAAAGTCCCGCGGACAGCTGACTGGCGCTACAAGTACGGGGCAGGCGCAGGTGAAGTAGAGGGGAATGTTGCGCCGCGCTCCGCTGCCTGCTTTCGTACGGGATGCGGATGGCCCCTTGTTGGGGTTGGGGCATCAGAACAGAACAGCCATGGCGCTCGTTCCAACAACCCTTGCTAGTTCAGCCCTCTAGGTGCCGCTTCAGTAAATAGTTTTCGTGTTTTTCGCTCACAGTTTTGCTCTGGTCTATTGTTGAAGGAATTTCGTAAGCAAACGAGCATGGCCGACAGAAGTAGTGGCGCTAGTCAGATGGCAGTGGATTCGCGATTAATCACCGCACACGGCGCCACGGAGCATTCAGCGGAGCCCGCGTTGCTCCCCACAACCTCCACGTTCTTCTCTTCCAACAAATCCGCCGATTCCTCCTCTTCGCCTTCCACCTCTTCGTATTCCTCGAACGGCAGCACTGCCAAGGCCTATCAAGAGGTCCCTATCTACCGCGCGACGGACGCGGCGCCACTGCCCGAAGCGCCCTCTCCGTCCTTTAGTCCGTTTCGCACCGCGCCGTACAGCGACCGCTTTATTCCCAGCCGCTCGTCGTCGCTCGCCTTCTCTTTCCCGCTCCTCGACCGCCCCGGCGACCCTCCGCAAACGTCGCACGGTTTCGGCGCGGGCCCCGAGGGGCGGGAGGACAGCGCAGCGGCGTACTCGCTGCTGCTCAAGTCGCAACTGCTCGGCGGGCAGCTTTCCGCGCCGCCTGCGCTAGGATCGAGTTCCGCGCAAGAGTCCGATTGAGTGCTCGGCAGACCGTGTCGCGTCCCCCTGCTTTCCGCCGCTACCTCCCCCTACTCCTCATCCTCCTCCCCCCTCGCGCCCAAGAATCTCTTCCGATATATTAACGGTGCAAGCAGCGCAGGCGGCGCCGCGGATCACGGCGGGTTGAGCGGGCTGGACTCGCCGCTGTCGCTGTCGCCCATAGGGTTGGACGCCGCCTTGTGCGGGCTGCCGTTCAGCCCCAAAAAGGCGCCGCGAAAAATTGCAAGATCGCCGTTCAAGGTGCGCTCGCTCGCGGCGCGCCGAATATTCTCGCTTGCTTCTCATCTCCTCTCGTTATATGTCGCCCGTTATCAGGCTCACCGTATACCTCTCACGCACCGAGCGTTTGGTCGCTGCTCGATTGCGCATTAGAGACGTCTCAAATCCATGCGTTCGTAGGGTTATTAACGTTCGGACCGCCCAGCGGCCAACCAGTCGCTGGTGACGCCAGTTGCATCCCGCTCACGTCTCGTGCATGTGCCCTCCCCTCGAATTGCCCGCCTCCCCCTGTGGCCATCCCCGCGTCCACCCCGCGGCCAACCTCCGTGTCCTCCCGCCCACTTCTCCGCTCCTCGCCGCCTCTCTCCACCGCCCCTCCACTCCGCTACCGCCCTTTCGCGCCTCCCGCTCCCGCAGGTGCTGAACGCGGCAGACGATTGTTATCCGAACGTCGTCGAACCTCCCCCCGCGCCTGACAACACTCCTTGCCCCTCTACCCGTCCCCTGTTTTACCAGGTGCCCGAAGCGGCCGCGCTGCAGGGGCGACTTCTATCTGAACCTGGTGGATTGGTCGTCCAGCAACGTGCTCACTGCACTCCTCGTCACCTCTTCATCCTCCCCCTTCCTCCTTCCCCATCATCAGGTCCTCGACGCGCCGGCGCTACAGGACGACTTTTATCTGAACCTGGTCGACTGGTCGTCCACCAACGTGCTCGCCGTGGGGCTCGGCTCGTGCGTCTACCTCTGGAGCGCCGCTAGCAGCAAGGTGATTACATGCTGCCAGCAAAGCAGCAAGGTACTTAGCAGCTCTGCCAGCAAGGTCGTTAACGTGCTCGCCGTGGGGCTCGGCTCGTGCGTCTACCTCTGGAGCGCCGCCAGCAGCAAGGTAGTTAAATTTAGATACGTTTGCGCGAAGGCAGTTTAGTGTTTCCAGCAGCAAGGTTGTCAAATGAGTTCACTATGAAGTGCCGCCAGCAGCAATATCGCGATTAGGAGCGCCGCTGACAGGGAGTAAGGCGTTTAGATAAGATACCCTTGTTATGCCGCCGGCAGCGATGATTCAAAGGACGTTGCCGACATCAGGGTGATTAGAGGCGCCGAGTACGGGAAAGTAATGAGGCGCCGAGTACGGGAAAGTAATGAGGCGCCGAGTACGGGAAAGTAATGAGGTGTTATTGAGATCAGGAGGTAGCTACGGTTCAGGAGAGGCGCAGGCGAGCGGAACGGCGCGCAGGCGAGCGGAACGGCGCGCAGGCGAGCGGAACGGCGCGCAGGCGAGCGGAATGGCGCGCAGGCGAGCGGAATGGCGCTGGCGAGCGGAATGGCGTAGGCGAGCGGGAAGACGGAGAAGGGGAAAGGGAGGAGGCGAGCGGGAGGGCGTAACTGCGTCAGTGCCGTTGACGGGGAAAAGGGACGGGTGTAGAGATTTGTTGAAGCGATAAGGGTGGCAGCTGGGGAGTTACCTTCACTATTGACCATTCCGCTGACTGGCGCGCGCACGTGCCACTGTCTGGCGCGCACACATGCCACTGTCTGCCGCACGCGCGTGCCGCTGACTGGCGCGTGCGCACGCTATTAACCCGCGCGTGGACGCGCGCACGAGACAGGGCTGGCTGGGTGGTTATCCGCGAGTTCGCATGGGTCCCGAGCGGAGCTGAAGGCTTTTTGAGCCGACAATTTAATCGCATGTGACGGCCTATCTGGCTGGCTGGTTGCAAGTGCGTTCCCATTGGTCCCGATCGCAGCTGAAGCCTGCACGCCGTCGCCGTCGCGATCGCCGCCAGCTGGACGGCTTAGAAGCACTCCCTTCTCAATCCCACCCCGCACGCCCCTTCCCTTCCACGCGCCCTTTACCTTGCGCGCGTGTCCCATTCTGCGCGCCCCTCTGCTTGCGCCCACCCCGCGCAGGTGACAACACTGGTGGAGTGGGCCCGATCGACGCCGTGAGCTCCGTCAGCTGGACGTCTCAAGACCACTCTCTTGTTCCCTTCTCCTTCCCGACGTGCGCTTCCCCTCTTCCGCACACCCCTCCCCGGCCTTTCCCCCCCCTCCCCCCCCCCCCCTTGCGCAGGTGACGAAGCTGGTGGACGTGGGCCCCAGCGACGCTGTGTGCTCTGTCAGCTGGACGCAGCGCGGCACGCTGCTGGCCGTCGGGACCAACAACGGTCACGTGCAGGTGCGTGGCGGACACGTGAAGGGGAGTGGGGAGCATGTGAAGGGGTGTGGGGGGCACGTGCATGTGGATTTGGGCGCGTTGGGGCGCGTTGGGGTGCGTGGGGAGCATGTACAGGGGTGTGGGATGAAGCAACGACGGGTTGGGTAACAATGGACGAGCGTGTCTGCCTCGCTCCTCAAATCCCCCCTCCATTGATTCTCAGGTGTGGGACGTGGTGAAGGGGCGTCGGGTGCGGTCCATGGGCGGGCACAGGGTGCGAGTGGGAGCCATGGCGTGGGCGGCGAACGTGCTCGCCACAGGCAGCCGCGACCGCAGCGTGCTGCAGCGGGACGTGCGCGCCCCGGTGGACTTTGTAGCTCGGTTGACGGCGCACAGGAGCGAAGTGTGCGGGCTCAAGTGGTCGCCTGATGACAGGGAATTGGCGTCTGGGGGCAATGATAACCAGGTGAGGCAGGGGCAGGGACAGAGGGAAGAAGAGGAACAAGGGCACGGGCAGAGGGAAGAAGAGGGGCAAGGCACGGGCAGAGGGAAGAAGAGGGGCAAGGCACGGGCAGAGGGAAGAAGAGGGGCAAGGCACGGGCAGAGGGAAGAAGAGGGGCAAGGGCACGGGCAGAGGGAAGAAGAGGGGCAAGGGCACGGGCAGCCGCGACCGTAGCGTGCTCCAGAGGGGCGTGCGGTCGCCGCTGGACTTTGTTGCGCGGCTGACGGCTCACAGGAGCAAAGTGTGCGGATTGAAATGGTCTCCGGACGACAGGGAATTGGCGTCTGGGCGGAATGACAATCAGGTGAGGCAGAGGCAGAGGCAGAGGCAGAGGCTGCAGTGTGGTGTGAAGGAGCTCCTTCTTAGGCGCTGCAGAGAGACATGCGCTGGCCCGTGGACTTTGTGGTTGCCTAGTGGTCTCAAGTGGTCTCAAGTGGTCTCAAGTGGTCGCCTGATGACAGAGAGCTGGCTTCTGGGGGCAATGACAACCAGGTGTGTATGTGTGAGTGGCAGAGGAGCATGGCGTGGTGTGCTGCAGATAGCCGCTTCTGAGGTGCCTATTGAGCTGCAGTGTGATTCCCTCTGAGTCGACTCACAAGTCACAGGCACGTGCTCTTGCCTATGAGTCTAGTAATGCAGCTCACAACTCCCCTCCCCCGCGTCTCCTTCCCGCCCTCCCCTTCCCCCGTCCTCTCCCTCCCCCCTACAACTCCTAATCTGGAATGTGCTGACGTCACAGCACCCGGTGGTGCGATTTATGCAGCACCAGGCGACAGGCAAGGCAACCGCGTGGTCGCCGCACCACCTGGTTTCTCTTACCACCCCTCAACGCATGACTTCCTTGTGCTCTTGTGTGTCCCTTTCCTACCTCCCTGTCCCCCCTCCTCATAACAGCTGCTAATCTGGAGTGTGCTCACCTCACAACAACCAGTGGTGCGGTTCACACAGCACCAGGCGGCAGTGAAGGCCATCGCCCACCAGCGCGCTTCTTGTACCACCCCTCAACGCGCGTCTCCCTTGCCTCCCCACTCAACTCCCTGTCCCCTTCTCCCCCTTACAGCTACTGATCTGGAGCGTGCTGACCTCACAACAGCCAGTGGTGCGATTCACACAGCACCAGGCGGCAGTGAAGGCCATCGCCTGGTCGCCCCACCAGCACGGCCTGCTGGCTTCAGGAGGCGGCACGGCAGACCGCTGCATTCGCTTCTGGAACACTGCCACTGCCACGCCTCTTTCCTGGGTCGACACTGGTAGCCAGGTGGGACTCTCCTCTTTCCCTCCTTCTTTCGACCGCTTGTCACCGCTCTTGCTCTCTCGACCGCTGCATTCGCTTCTGGAACACAGCCACTGCCACGCCCTTGTCCTGGGTCGACACTGGTAGTTAGGTGGGCATTTTTTGTTTTTTTCGGCCTCTTCTCTTCACCGCTTCCGACCACTCTTGACTGCTACGTTCGGTTACGGAACACACCGCCCCTGCCACACCCTTGTCATGGGTGGACACTGGAAGCTGGGTGGACACTGGAAGCTGGGTGGGCACTGGAAGCCGGGTGGGCACTGGAAGCTGGGTGGACACTGGAAGCCGGGTGGGCACTGGAAGCTGGGTGGACACTGGAAGCCGGGTGGGCACTGGAAGCCGGGTGGGCACTGGAAGCCGGGTGGGCACTGGAAGCCGGGTGGGCACTGGAAGCCGGGTGGGCACTGGAAGCCGGGTGGGCACTGGAAGCCGGGTGGGCATTTCTTTCTCTCTCTCAACCCCTCTTGGGCGCTCTCGACCGATGCACCCACTTCTGCTAACACACTCTTATCCTGTTCAAAACTGGCAGTCAGGTGAAAGCAGCAAGAGCAGAATCCGAGGCAAGACTGCACACGGAAATGCACTAATTTCAGATTCGACTTAAAACAGGATTGTGTTGGAGTGGGACAGACTGCCATTTTGTTAGGCTGTGCGCATGCTTGTGGTAGACTCTCTCTTACCTGGAGTGCTCCCACGTGGCTGTGTGTGTGTCCCTCATGGTGCCTTCCTTCCATTCTCGCCCTCCCCTCGCCTTCTCTCCCTCCTATTAACCATCAACATGTTTCTCCACCCATTGGTACTCTGCTCCACCCATTGGTACTCTGCTCCACCCATTGGTGTGCCTTCTCAACATCCCCGTCTTCTGTGCCTGCGAACATGGATGCATGCATGTCTGTGCTCTGTGTGCATGATTGCATGTGTGTCTATCTGCATGTATGGATACCTTGATGCATCTTCGCATGGGTGTGGGCATTTTCGTTCTCCGTGTGCTTGTGTTTTCAATGTGCGCGTGTGTGTGTGCGTGCATTGCATTTCCCTGGGTGCCTTGATGTGTCTGTGCATGCATGCATGCAGGTGTGCAACCTCCTCTGGTCACGCAATGCCAACGAGCTGGCAAGCACACACGGCTACTCGCAGAACCAAGTCGTAGTCTGGAAATACCCCTCCATGGCCAAGGTAATTACCCTTTGTCGCAGATATTGTCACCCTTCGTGCACAGTTGTGTTTTGAGTGATTTGTTTGTATTTTTCTTTGTTTTCCTCTTTTCTTTTTTTCCTTGGAGGGGGAGGCTTGAGAACAACTAGGTTGTTGGGGTGGGGACAATTAGGCCTTTTAGGACGTCCCGATTTATTTTTCTCATCCGTTATTCTCTTGTCGTTTTCTGCCAGTTGGCCACCCTAACCGGCCACACCATGCGGGTGCTCTTCCTTGCTGTGTCGCCGGATGGCCTGGTGCGTCTTTTAGCAGTCAATCACGTCTTTTTAACAGCCAAGTATGTCTTCTAGCGGCGAAGTAGCCAAGGAGCAAATGTTGCATGTTGTGTGCATGTTGTCTTGTTTCCCTTCCTGCTTCACGCCCTTACAACCACAGACCCTGTTCCCTTGGTCTATCACTTTTGTACAATCACAACCATTTCTCTCCTTCATTTCTTACGGTACCGCTTCTCTCTTTATCTCACAATCACAGTCGCTGCGACCCTATATATCTCACAATCACAGACCATTGTCACGGGAGCTGGCGACGAGACCCTTAGATTCTGGAACGTCTTTCCGGGAACCAAGTCCCAGGTATGCAACACTGCCACTTTCCATGCATGGACTCACATATTGGCCCATCAGTGTGTGTACATTGTTTTTCCCTTGCCTCTTTGCCTAACCTGCTCTGCTGTCCTCTCCATTTATGATGCTCCAGACCACGCTCATCTCCTGTCTGTCGTAGCACCCTCCAAGCTGCCCCATCCCCCCTTCTACTGCCTGTGTTAGCACCCTCCAGTCCAGGCTGATCAATGCTGGCAACTGAACGCCAGCCACACGTGACCTCATTCACATGCTTCCCTCCCTGATGGATTCCTGTCTGTTCCTCCATCTCTCTGACCCTCTTTCCATCCCTCTCCACCCCTCTCTGCCGCCCTCTACCCATCTCCATCACCTCTTCTCTTCCAGGGCCCCCAAAGCTCATCCATGCTCGCGTCAGAGCGAAGCCACATCCGCTGACGGCCATATCCCGCTCAGGCGGCGTGTAAGCTGCTTACAGCCCTGAACCCTTAACCCTGCCTCTGTGTGGCCGAGCGCCCTCACTTCTTTCGCCACATGGAATTCTGCTGACATCAGCATCGGTCTCCAACCTCGGTGTGCCATGTCAGCTCGTGGATCTGCCATGTCAGCTTCTGAATGCAGTGGGAATGTGTCAAGGGAGAGTGGAATGGGAGGGACGTTGGAAGCACCTTGACACAGGATGGGTGTTATTGAAATCTTGGGTCAGTGCAGTGGGGTTGGAGTGCAGTGCAGTGGTGATGGCTGCAGTGCAGTGGGGATGACTGCAGTGTGGTGTAGTGTGGGCCTTGCTCGTGTGTGCGTTGCATGCTCTGGTTACCTCTGCACTTGGGCTGTTGATGCTGCTGTGTGCGTGCGCATGTATATCGGGCTGTGCGGCATTCAATAAATGCAGTCCAAAAATATTATTGTTTCTTGTGTTAATGGAGAAAGTGATGCGCCTGTCCATCCAATGGTACTATACAGCAAAAGCAGTACATGAAGTCCAAGGGTTTCAGGCATTTGTGAATCCTGAAAGCTGGATTTCAGAATCTTCAAACGAAAATGCTTTGACAGACTAGCTCCAAGGCAAGCTTCTCATGTTCAGGATTATTGTGATCTGAGACATTCTATCCAAAAACTACAGCACGCAGATTCCACTAGAAGGCAAATTAGGCCTGGAACATGCAAAAAACTTAGCTTCTGAGCAGCACATGGCAAATCGGCTCAGAAACAATTTGCTACAGATCCTCCACCTGCTGTTACCAGCTGGAAATGATTTTATATTTTCAAATAAATGGGAAGCTGCGCTGGCGCTCATGGCTTGATTGTAAACAGAGGCTGCATAAGAGCATATTCAGGTTCAAGAGCAGGGGAAATTGGGGAAAGGGGTATGGGTGGAGGAAGAGGAGAGCTGAGGTAGTGGATGAGACTGCATGAGAAGCGGCAAAAACAGCTCACTGGGCGGAAAATTACATAAATATATTTAAAAAAACTAGGGGGAGAGGAGGGGAGGAAGGGGAGGGAAAAGGGGGGGAGGAGGGAGGGGGTGTGTGTGTGCAGGGCCTTACCGCGCCAACAGACACTGGTTTGCCGTCCTCTGCGATAATGGCCACCACCGTGCCTGACTGGTCCGCCTACACACAGGAAGCCACGAGGGGGGTAAGGATCATGGGGTCAGCGTTTCTGGAATAAATTTGATTGTATACTGAGACATCTCAAAAGTCTGGTTTGCCATCCTCTGCTATAATAGCCACCACCGTGCCTGACTGGTCCGCCTGCACACGGGAACCCAGGGGAAGGGAGGAAGGAAAGGGGACGGGGGGGAAAGGGGGGGGGGGTCATGTGGTCAGCTCCTCGCACATGGAAACGACTAGATTGGTTCCAATTGCCAAAGGGTGAAACAACAATTCAATCTGGCGACCCTCGTCCAGCAGCGCACGCCGTGTTTCCTTGCACCACGCAAACTTGCACCTCGATCTCGTTCATGAGCTTCATTACCTCCTCCACGATGCACACCACTTGAGGTGACGATTTAGTCAACTCAAATTGAGGTGATTTACACAAGAGTCAGCAAGGACGGCACGCACCTCGATCTCGTTCATGAGCTTCATGGCCTCCACAATGCACACCACTTGCCCTTTAGTCACCTTGTCGCCCACCTGCCATGCCACACCACGTCATGCCATGCGATGTCAGGCCGTGCCATGTCATGCCACGCCACGCCATGCCATGCAATGGCAGTCAAGTCATCCATCCCATCCCATGTCCCATGCCATTCCCCATGCCATGTCATGCCCCATGCCATGCCATGCACCAGGCCATCACCATCCCAAGCATATCAGCACCAGCACGCGTACATGCCATGAAAAACAGTACCACCCACATATTAGAATGTGCAAGTGACTTATGGTGGGTTCGGGCAGGAGTGGATGCGCAGGGAAGGGAAGGGAAGGGCGGGAGCAGAGACATAGGAGGGAAACAGGAACGCGACCGGAGGAACAAGCATCGCCTTGACCACGCGAGACCGCGCCTTGACCAATGGGCCTCACCTTGAGGAAAGGGGGTTCGCCGGGGGCGGGGGAGGAGTAGTACGTCCCAGCCATGGGGGAAACCATGGGCGGAAGCGCGGCGGGCGGAGGCGGCGCAGGGGCGGCGGGCGCAGCAGCGGGCTTGGCAGCAGGCGCGGGGGCGGCGGCGGCGGCGGGGGCCGGGGCGTCCGCGTATTGGAACGGCGCCATCATGTGGGGAGGGGGGTAGGCGGGGTAGGCGGGCGCGGGGGGCGCGGCGGGGGCCGCGGGGGCGGGGAGAGCCTCCTTCTTGCGGATGAGGATCTCAAACCCCCCCTGCTTGAGCTCCAGCTCGACGATATCGCGCGAATCCACCAGCCTGCGCGGAACGCGGACGGGAAGGGGAGAGCGACGGCATGAGGGCTTCCAATCAAGTGCAACGTCGCAAGTGTGCTTGAGCTCCGCTCTACTGTGCCCCGCCCCGAACGACGTCTGCTCGCTTAAGTGTGCTTGAGCTGCGCTAAAATGTGCTTGCGCACAGGCAGGGAAAATGAGCGGTGGGGTTTGGAGAATGAGGGAAAACTTCTATGGGGGTTCGAGGGTGACCCGCCTGCATGCGCGCCGCAGGGTTGCGAAAAATCACGAGTGTGCGCAGAAATGGGAAAGGAAGGGGGGATGGGGGTGTGGGAGAGGAAATTGAGAGGCAGAGCGACGGAACGAGAAGGGACGAAGAAACGTATTGAACGTTAACTGCTGGCCTAGAATAGGCAACGAGCAGCTATTAGAGAGGACAATTATTATAGCGAAGCGCGTCGAGCTGCACCGCGGACAATTGTGTAGTCCAGGCACTAATGACGCGACGGCAAGTGGATATTATGTTTAACAGGGTGACTTAACGCACTTGATGAGGCTTGACACATCGGCAATGAACGCTGACGTGTCAGTGATCTCCGCCGCTGGCGCCTCCGACGCCGCCGCAGCCGCTGCCGTTGTCTGGAGCGAGGGAGGGTTGAGGAAGACCGGGATAGGTATGTTGGAGGACGGATAAACGAAGAAACGGAAAGACGGGGAGAGACGGAAGGAGACGAGTTGAGGGGTACAGAAGCAAGAGGTGAGGCGCGTGAGTGTGAGTGAGAGCGGATGGTGTTGCTGCATGGGTAACGCAATTGATGGATGGAGGAAGCAGCGACGCGGATGACAGAGCGCAGCAAAAGGTGCCGCACACGGGTGCTTTCGAGCGTGTGTTCGAGCGTGAGTGTGCGACAGGCGCGGGTGCACGCGTGATGACGGGGCAAGGGAAAGGAGGAACGGCCGAGCCCGAGAAGCGAAGAGAATGGAGTATAGCGATGCGACCGAGAGGTGGGGGGGTGATGGCGGAAAGGGTGGAGTCGGAAGGAGGCGCGGGGAGGAAAATGGTGGGACGGGAGGAAGGGGGGGGGGGGGGGGGGGATGGGAGTAATGGGGGGGAAGGGAGAGAAGGGGAGGGTATAGGCAAAGGATTGTGGCGAGTGGGATGCAGCCGGAAGAACAAGGAGCAGAGGACAAAGCGGACGGAGTTTTGAGCCGCCTCAAAACTCGTGACGAGTGGGATGCAGCCGGGAGGATAGGGAGCAAATGGCAAAGCGGACGTAACGAGGCAACGCAGACAGTGGGCGGCAGCACGGCGAGGCGAGAACAGGTGGCTCACTTACGTTGTCAGCGGCGGCGCATCGAGTGATCCGTCGCGACGTAGCGCTAGCCTACAGTAATCGCGGGGAGGAAAAGATGGGCGAGACGATTGAGATGTGATTGCGGCGAGGTGACTGAGTGACGATGTAACAAGGTGAAGAGGTGAGGAAGTAAACAGGTGAACTTAGCAAGAAGGAACGGCATAAAGTGAAGCCGATATGTCGAGTGGCCACGTCGCGACCAGGTGGAACTATTTTTAAACGCTGGGTGGAACAATACGCGACTTCATTGCGAGCTTACTATTGACGGTCAATCGCAACGTCCCGTCGAATGCGTGAGCGAGCTGGGGTAAAGGCATGCGCAGGAGGCATGTCAAACATGTGATCAAGCAGGGCCCGTATTGTGGCGACGCTACCGCTTTCTTACGATCATGCAGGCGCTTCAATTTTGTAATCCCCATCTGCACCTCTTCCCCATTCTCTCTGATTCAGGAGGTTATTATCAGCTTGCGTGAATGTCCAATTTCGCTCCATCATACTTGGCGCTGATTCGGCGTCCAAAATAGGAGCCATCCGCTTACGTCACGGCGCAGCGAGGCGCAGTGAGGCACGGACCTGGAGAGAGGCCTTGGCGGCAGGCACGACCCGAAGCGACTTCGTGGAAGCGCAGCTGGCGGAGGACAGAAGCTCCGCCGCGCGGTCGGCCTTGGCGGCTGCCTGCCAGGCGACCGCACCGAGCGTGCACGCGGTAGACGCTGCCATGGCGATAGTGGCTCGCGAGTGAAACGGCGGAGAGAATGAGGATCTGGTGGAACAAAAAAACTGCTGCGGACCAGATCACAATAGCCAACAGGAAGAATGAGAACTGGCTTGGTCGGGAATTGGGATCAAGGGGAATACCGTAGAGTCGCAAGGGACACCTGCTCTGTGCGTGTGCAGACTGAATGGAGGAATCGAGGGATGAAATTGAATCGAGGCCAGAGGGTGTGGGCGGATGAACCGACAGATTGTGGCGGAAGCGGTTGCGGCGGAAGGGGGTGTTTGGCACTAAGGGATTGCCGCAGAGCTTGGGGGGTGAATGTGATGGGATCGGAGGTAAGGGGGGGACAGGGATTGAGTGGCGCAGGCGGGTTTGGCGGGGCGGGAAGGTTGTGAATGGGTGGTGGATGGCGCAAAGGTCTTATCGCCACGTCATTCATATCCATGCGACAGCGACTGCCATTTCCAAGAGCGACCCTTCACGAAAGAGCTGTAGAAACAACTCCCGTTTGACGTGTTTGACGATGTTCGCGAATTATGGAATAGGTTACTTTTAGTTTCAGCCAATGGTTCGGCATCGGCGAGATGCCAGACATACAAGTTATTTGTATGACGAAAGGCTTTTGATGTTTGTCCGTGACAGTGTATCTCGTTAACAATGTTGACAATGCCGTGGATCTGAAATACACGGTTTTCCACCATGTTTACCCTATCTCTTTGTGACAAAGGATAACTAGAAGTAAAAAATGTAACCAGATGGAAGCAAGGATAGACATACAACATATTGAGAAGAGGAGGGGGATACGGGGAAGAGGAGGGGGTTGCGGGGAAGTGAAAGGGGGGTGCGGATAGATTTATGTCTTATACAATATCATAGACATACACGCATGAGACACAAGCACCAAATTGATACAACTACCGTATCAAGCCTTATCAACTTTCAGGCATGCATTATCACCTATCCCCACCCCAGGAAAGTGAAAGAGCTACGGCAGTATTTTGTCCAGGAAGGACACCATTGCACCTCGCTTCACTCCCCAGCCTACCTTGCCCCACCGCGCGGCAACAAGGCTATGTAAGCACAACCAAACCGCCACCGAATTCCAAGCGCCGCGGCCAACCCCCAACCTACATAAAACTCCGCCAGTGCCATGTAAATGCAACGCCTTACTTCCTGTCAAGCAACTCGCTCGATGACCCGCAGCTTGGCACTCCTGCTGCGTGCATTCACCCTCCACTCATCCTCCTCTGCCACCACTGGCCGCTTTGTCACAACCCGGTACCTCGCCTGCCCGTGCCCCTCCAAGCCACTGCTCCCTACTCCTGGTTCAGACACAGGCACAGGCATGGCCACTGGCAAGGGCACTGGTACAGGCATGGGCACAGGCATGCCGGCAGCAGCTTCCAGGAAGCTTCGCTTCACGATGCGGTCTTCCAGCGAGTGGAAGGAGATGACGGCCAGCCGGCCGCCCGGCGCCAGCAGGGAGAGGGCGGCGGGGATGGCGAGTGCCAGGGCGGCAAGCTCGTCATTTACTGCGATGCGGAGAGCCTGGAAGGTGCGGGTGGCCGGGTGGATTCGCATGCCTGGACCACCACGGCGGGATGAAGTGGCTGAGATGGGACACACAGGGCAGGACAGGATGTGCAGAGGCAGGGGAGGGATGGGGGATGAGATGGCGTGCAGTGGATGTGCTGGAAGTGCGGGTGGATGGGTGGACGCACGCCCGGGGCCACCGGAATGGGAGGATGAGGGTGGGAGCGGCAGGAGTGGCTGTGCAGAGGCAGGAGAGGATGCAGAGTGAGGGGCAAGAATGGATGTCCATGTGGAGCTCTGCCATCACCGCCATTCCTCCCCTTGCCTCCTCAACAACACTCTTCAACACATCCATCCAAGCACCAACCCAACCTACCTGAGCCCTTCTTAGGCCCATACGCCCCTCCTGCCACAACAGCAGCGAGCTGCGTGGTGCTGCTGATGCGCCCTCGCCCCCGCGCCTCCACGATCCGCCGGGCAAGCTGCCGCCACCGCCTCTCCTCCCCTAGGTCTCTCAAGATCTGCCCTAGCACCTCCTCCGGCCAATCGTTGACCGCCACCTCAGCGGTGATGGGGCTCTGGTGGGGGGGTGCAAGGGTGGTGCATGCATGGGTGGTGGATGCATGGGTGGTGCATGTGGAAGGGGGTGTGGGGAAGAAGAGCTGAGATGAAAAGACAGGGAAGCGGGAGTCAGGAGCACTCACAAGCACATGAATGTATTCACATGAACATTCACATGCACATGCAGACAGCCATGACAAACAGTTACATCCATGCCTCGGCTCACCTTAGGGTCCATGCGCATGTCCAGAGGCCCATCCCTCATGAAGCTGAAGCCCCTCTCTGCCCTGTCGATCTGTGGACAGGGGAGAGCGAAGGCAGCGCAGAGAGAAGACTATTTCTAAGGAAAGCGAGGCGGGAGGAGAAGACTGAAGTGGGGAGAGTGGAGAATTAACTTCAAAGACACAATCCCTGGCCTGTACGAGATACAACCAGCAACCTGCGTAGGAGCGGCCATCACCTGCATCAGATACCACCTGCACCAGAGCAGCCTGCCCACCTGCATGGACGAGACCCCTACGCCCAGCAGAATGCCATCCACACGCCATCACCGACATCTGATGATACTACCTGCATCAGATACCACCTGCATCAGATACCACCTGCATCAGATACCACCTGCATCAGATACCACGTGCACCCAACCAGCACGCACCTGCATGGACGAGACCCCCACGTCCAGCAGAATGCCATCAACGCTGCCACGCCCCACCCCCACGCCCGCACACGCCTCCACCATCCGCCGGAAATTCCCCTCCACCACGTGTAGAGTGGCTGCTGTGCTCCCCCTCTCCTCCACCACTCGCAATGTCGCTTCCGGTCTCGCCTCCGCTACTCTCAGTGTTGCTTGCCCCTGCTCCTCGAACTGGCCCCTCTCCTCTAGACAAGCCTCTGCTTGGCCGTGGGCATGAGCATCGTGCGGACTGGCTGCCCGTGCGCCTGGAGAGGCAGCGATGCGCAGCAAGGGGTGCAGGCGCGCGACAGCGATGGCGTGTGCTGCGGGGTCCACGTCCATTCCCACCACCGTTCGTAGCTCTGAATGGTGTTGGCATAGCTGCAGGGGAGAAACGAAATGGGAGAGAGCACGGGAGAGAGCACGGGAGAGAGCACGGGAGAGAGCACGGGAGAGAGCACGGGAGAGAGCAGAGGCAAAAGAGTGAAGGGAGGGAAAATCAGCAGCGATGGCGTGTGCTGCGGGGTCCACGTCCATTCCCACCACCGTTCGTAGCTCTGAATGGTGTTGGCATAGCTGCAGGGGAGAAACGAAATGGGAGAGAGCACGGGAGAGAGCACGGGAGAGAGCACGGGAGAGAGCACGGGAGAGAGCAGAGGCAAAAGAGTGAAGGGAGGGAAAATCAGCAGCGATGGCGTGTGCTGAGGGGCCCACGTCCACGCCCTCCACCGTCTGTAGCTCTGAATGGTGTTGGCATAGCTGCAGGGGAGATGTGAAGAGGGTGGGAGAAAAGCGGAGGCATGGGAGTGAAGGGAGGAGGCAAGTGCAACATATGATGTGCTGAGGGGTCCACGTCTACGCCCACCACCGTCTGTAGCTCTGGATGGTGCCGGGCTAGATGCACATGCACATGCACACGAACACATGAGGGAGACGGTGAATGGAGGGGAGGTGCAATGAGGGCAGCAGCGATGGCGTGTGCTGCGGGGCCCACGTCCATCCATGCTCACCACTGCCTGTCTGTAGCTCTGGATGGTGGCGGGCTAGCTGCTCACACGGAGAGGGAAATGAAGGAAAGCAGCGGCATGTGCGATGGCATGTGATGTCAACAGTGTGCCTGTGTCTCTGGATGGTGCCGGGCCAGCTGCAGGGGAGAAAGGAGGGAACGCGTAAGCAGGAGAGTGACCAGGAGGGGGCAGAAGCAGCAGCACCCCGTGTGAATGCGATGGAGCGGGTGCCTGTGAGACACACCATGCAGAGACGGGGGAAACAAACCATGATCACTATAGGAGTCACATCCGTTACACTCACACCTGATACAGTCACACATGGCACACCCGTTACAATCTCACCCAGCACTGTCTAACCTGTAACCACGGTCACACCTGTTACACCCAGCACTCACAGCGAGAGTGTGGCCGCCAGCCCCCAGTGTGCCGTCCACCAGTGTCATCAACCTCCATTCCGAGGCGACTCAGAAATAACCCATTACAGCCACAATCAGCACTCACAGCAAGCGTGTGACCGCCGGCCCCCAGTGTGCCGTCCACCAGAGTTGTCAACCGCACGCCCTCAAACGCCCCCACCACCTCCCGAACCAGCACCGGCACGTGCGGCCACTCTCCCCCCTGTCTCCCCTCCGCGCCCAATCTCGCCTCCCCCTCTCCCCCCGCCTCTGCCCCTTCCGCCTCCGCCCCTGCGTCCACCCACCTCTCCGCCTCCGCATAGCTCACCCCCCTCCTCAGGCTCTCCCCGCTACTTGCCTCCGCCCCCTCCCGCGTCCGCTGCTTCTCCTCCTCCCTCCGCCTCCTCCTCTTCTTCCGCCCCCCCTTTTCCTCCCCTCCCCCGCTCTCTTCCCTATCGCTGCTACTACCGCTGCCTTTATCCAACTCGTCTTCCTCAACTGCGTGCATGACGGCCCTTTCCCCAACTTCATCCCACTCTTCCCCGTCCTCCTCTTCTTCCCCCTCTTCCTCTCCCCCCTTCCCCCTCCCGCTGTATCTCCTGCCGCGCGCAACGATAACACCGGCCTCGCCCCCGCCTTCCGCCCGCGCAACCAGGGGGAGCGCAGCACGCAGCTGCAGCCCCGCCAGTTGCGCGCCAATGCGCCCCGCGCCTCCTCTTGGAGCGCCGGGGTGCCTCAGCGCCTCCTCTCCGGGGTGCGCGCAAGACGTGCTGGCCCAGATACTAGCGGAGGGAGAGGCGGAAAGGCAGGGGGAGGGTCGTGGGGAGGCGCAAGCGGATTGGCGGAGTAAAACGTGGGATTTGGCGCAGAGGGAGGCGCGGGAGGATAGCGACGTGAAAAAACGAGACGGGATGAGCGAGTCCCTGTCACTGTTTCTGCTGACTTGGCTGACCCTGTTGACGCCGTTGACTCCGCTGGCTCTGTTAACGCTGTTGTCTCTGTCGGCCCCGTTGACTCCATTGAATGTCGCTGCGACGGTCCGTCGGTCGGGAGGAAGGAGCCACGGCCCGAGGCGGGCCCGAGGCGACGCGAGCGAGTGTGACAATGGCGAGGGGAGTGGAATGCGATCCATGGCGCAGGCCCGGCAGGCGAAGACGCGCATCCAGATTGCGACTCGGTCCGTTGCGACTCGGTCCGTAAGAGACAGTGGCGCACGATACCCAAGTTCTGTCCGTTGCGGGCCTATTTCGCAACACCTTGCGCCATAGCCAGTCGTGGACTGGTCCGAGCAGCTGATTGGCTCGGAGGAAGTGAAGGGGCCTGCGCAATGCGGTTGTAACGGAAATAAGAACTAGAATTACTTCCGCCCATGCGCAACGCGGTTGTAACTTACTGTGTTTCTAGAGGCCTTTCCTTGTCTGAGTAGTTCTGATTCCAATGTCTCTTTGACAACTATGTCTCTTTCTGCCTGTGGTACGGCCACTAAGAATCACCAGCATCTTCAAGTCAAACCCCCAAACCTTGGCGATTAGAAATCCCTTGATATAAAAAACAGTTGTTTGGACAATAGATTGCAAGCTTTAGCGAGTTCTCAAAGCTAATGGTTGCTATATCGCTTCTGTGGTCAACTTTATAGAGGGGAATCCTCACCCCGAAGATGCAAGCCAGCCACCTGCCGCCTCACCTCGGCCCGCTAAAATTCGCACTAACACCTTACATTTGTGCATTCCTTCTACGAGCCGCGCAATTCCGCATTTACCGCTCTCTCCGCCCCCAAAAATAATCTGTCTGCGGATCAACGCGCGCCCATACGGCGCAGATAGCAAGAGATTCACCCTTGTCGCCCTCTTCTCCGTCGTTCTCGTCGCTCTCGTCGGCCTCTCTTCCCCGTCGCCCTCGTCGCCGTTGTCGCCTGTCGTCACAATCGTCGCACGCAGCTGCCCGCGCACACTCGCAGAAACAGCGTTCTTTGCGGAAGGGGGGGGCATCGAGTAGCCATGACGTAACGTCCGAGAACTCTTAACGCGCCTCAAGAGGCGCTTCGGAGGGGGAGAAGAAAAGAGATGGCGGAGGTGGCGGAGGATCCGCGCAGCGCAGCGGGAGGCGCGTCATCGGCGGGGATACTGCGGGATGCGCGGACGCCGCCGAAGTCGTGGTCGGATTTCGAGCCGCCTGCGGCGCGGTGGGCGAATCCGTTCGTGCTGCGCGTGGGGCAGGTGTTCACGGGATTCGGCGTGGGATGCGGCGTGGGTATCGGCGTTGGCCGGCCCGTGAACCTGGGTAAGGGCACTGGGATGGCGTAGTGGGGTAGGCGGATTGGGTATGGCGTATTGGGGTAGGGCGCATTGGGGTAGGGCGCATTGGGGTAGGGCGCATTGGGGTAGGTCTCTTTCTCTCTCCCCGCTAGGCTTCTTGCCTTCAGCAGCGGCAGTGGCTTGAACCGTCTCGCTGCGATTTTCGCGTCGCCTCTGAACGCACCTCGCTCTCTGTCTCTCTGCACCCAGAAAGTGCAGTGTCTGTCGCTCCTATCTCTCCGCCCACACCACCACCAGGCGCGTTGCCAGCAGCAGCAACAGTGGCATCAAGGGTGGGCGGAATCAATCGTCTCATTGTGACTTTTGAGTAAATGGCGAGCTTGTGCTCTCATATGCACCTTGCTCTCCGCCTCTGCTGCACTAAGGTATCTGTTGCTCATATCTCTCCGTCACCCTCCCACACCATCACCACCAGGCGCATTGCCAGCAGCAGAAACAGTGGCATCAATGGCGGGTAATATTAACTGACTCGTTGCGACTGTTGAGTCGCCTCAAGAGCCACCACTCTCGCTCTCTGCGCTGCATGTGTCTCTCCTATATGTGCTCCCCCCCAACCCTCCATTATCACCGCCACGCCACCACCAGGCGCATTGCCAGCAGCAGGGGCAGTGGCATCAATGGCGGGTGATTTTAACCGACTCGCTGCAAGCGCCGCTGCTCCCCTTCGCCCTCTGGTGAGCGCCCCTCCGCCCTCTGGTGAGCGCCCCTCCGCCCTCTGGTGAGCGCCCCTCCGCCCTCTGGTGAGCGCCCCTCCGCCCTCTGGTGAGCGCCCCTCCGCCCTCTGGTGAGCGCCCCTCCGCCCTCTGGTGAGCGCCCCTCCGCCCTCTGCTCAGCTACCCTACCCTCCGCTCTTGATCACCCCGCCATCACCTCTCTACCCACTCTCACCTCTCTCCCTTCCTTCCCCTCACTCTCATCCGCCCCTCACTCTCTTCCACCCCTCACTCTCATCCGCCCCTCACTCTCTTCCACCCCTCACTCTCATCCGCCCCTCACTCTCTTCCACCCCTCACTCTCATCCGCCCCTCACTCTCTTCCACCCCTCACTCTCATCCGCCCCTCACTCTCTTCCACCCCTCACTCTCATCCGCCCCTCACTCTCTTCCACCCCTCACTCTCATCCGCCCCTCACTCTCTTCCACCAGTCTATCCCTCGCCTGTCCCTTCCTTCCCTTCATGGCAGCTGAGGCGTCTGGAAGTGCCGCAGGGGGATGTGGGTGTGGGATGCGACTGGGCGAACCGCTCTCCCCTCTCTCCCCACTCGCCACTGTCCCCTTCTACCCCCTCCTGTAGCTGAGGCGCATGGGAGTGCTGCACGCACGTGGATGTGGTTGTGGGGTGCGACTGGGCTAACCACTCTCCCCCCTCTCCCCGCTCCCTTCCCCCGCCTCCTGCAGCTGAGGCGTCTGGGAGTGCGTCACGTGGATGTGGGCGTGGGATGCGGAGTGGGTTTCGGCCATGGCTTTGGTGCTGGTGTTGCCCTCAAGCCACAAGTTCTGGCTTCCCTGCTGCAGTCTGCACAGGTACAGCACGGCCGCTGCTGTGGCATGGCATGGTGTGGCACGCTGTGGCAAGCATCGGTGCTGGTATTGCTCTCAAGCCACAAGTGCTCACGTCCCTGCTGCACTACACGCACGATGCTCTGGTTCCGTTGCACCAGAGCTGCAGTCCGTCTGTGCTTCCCTGCTGCAGTCCGCTTGGGTAAAACGGGATGCACTCGTTCCGTTCAAGGCTGTCATTGCATTATTCTCAGGCCACAAGTCCTGGTATCCGTGCTTCAGTCTGCACCGGTACGGCAGGGCAGGTGCTGTCGCATGGTCAGATGGAATGTATGCTGTGGCGTGGTGTGGCGTGGTGTGGAACGGTGTGGCATGGTGTGCAATGCTGTGGCATGGTGTATGCACGCGATCATGCATGAGGAATGACTGGTGAGAGTTTTTCTATAACATTACCACGGCTCTTTGGTTAATCCCCTAGAAGAAAAAATATATAAAATATCGATCCTTCTCTGTATTTTGCACATTATTGTCTCACCTGACACAAGTAAAAGTAGGGAGATTTCTGTATGAGCAGCATTTCTGCTTTGTATGATTTAACGCCCAGCATTTCCTCTGTGCTCTTCCACAGGCCGTGGCATCTCGCCTCATCTCACACATCCCTCAAGAGCATCGCTCTCATGCCACCGTAGCACTTAGCAGCTCCATGCCAGCACTTAACAGCAGCTCCATACCAGCTCTTAGCAACTCTATTCCAGCACTTACCGGCGCAGCAGAGAAGATAAGGGAGGGGCACAATGTAGCTGTCGATGTGGTGGGGTCAGAACGAGTTGCATCAGAAAGCTATCCCGGTACCTTACGAACCGACTCCGGTGCTTCAGGGACTTACGTTGATGTAGGAACCAGCTCTGATTCTCCCTTTGCTGCTGCGAATCGCGCTGGCGGCACCGGCAATTCTGGTCCTGGTGGTGCCTACTTGGCTGATGTAAGTTTGAGCAGCTTGGCATGAGCTTCATGCAATGTACACCAGCTTCACATCAAGTAGTTAACGTGTTTACCGCTTCCGTTTCCTGTTTATTGTTTTCATTTCCATTTCCATACGGCCTTGTAATGTGGTGACTTTGAGTCGCCTCAATTTTCAGTCTTGTGTCAGTTTGTAAATGCCGTTATGGTCCTCATCTCCATCTCCATATTGTCACCTTTCTCTGTGTCACTCTTTCCTGTATCCTTCCTGTCTACTTCCCAGTTTGGCAGCTCATTTGATGACTTGGAGCCCTCTTGCTGTCTTGTTTGTTTGTCCGTGTTTGATTTGCACACGTTGTAGCACTTTCAGTATTTTAATCCTCCCATGTCATTCTTCCGATTAGCGCCCTGCCACGTGGCTCATCCACTCTTACTGCCCTCCCATGTGGCTTGTCCACTCTTACAGCCCTCACATTTGGCTCATTAAATCACCGCCCTCCCATGTTTTTGCTTGCAGGTGGATCAAGCCAAAGCACAGAACCTCATCATGCTCTCTGTAAGCGCACATGCAACACAACATGCATCCCAAGCTTCTCAAATGCTCAGCTGGGCTTTTAAAAGAGGAGAGGCATCTGAAGAGTCCATGCAACCGTCATGCTCCTTCCCTTTCATGTCATTTCTCATGTTCTTGTCATGCCTTCTCATGCCTGCCATCAGACGCCCATTTCTCATGGTATTTATACCCGTTTTTATGCCCCAATTATTACAGCTCCTGGAGCAGCAGGCTGACATTCGTCGTCTCACCCAGCAGGTGCAAGCTCTGCAGGAGCAGCAACACCAAGAGGTCGATAGGACCCGTTGCTTTGACTGCCGACAAAAGTCTAGGCGGAGAACAAAGAGTGCCAGATGAGCCAATTTGTTATAAACAAGCATGTACATGTGGATCGCTTAGGAGAGACCAAAGACCATTTTGGGGTTGTTAGGCGTAGTTATGAAATAACCATCAGGCATGTATCGCATGCTAAAAAATGTGTGTATTTTTTTCCAGTTCTCACAATTATCAAAGGCAGTGCATTGTGAATTTGAGCGAATCGCAAACTGGCCTTCACGATTTCGCACGTGCTTGATGGCGTGGGGATACGGATTTCGCGAACTGGGAAATGGTGACATGGCCCAATCTTAGGTCGTCGAATGAGCCAGGTGGTCTCAGCCCAGCTACGTCATTGCTGTGTCAGCTTTTTGCCTGGCCACGTTTGATTGTGGCTTGTTCCCCAAGTACGCCCAAGTCAGCCGCCCAATTCCATCTCCCGAGTCCCAGGGCCTCGTCATCTGGCGTGGATTACGGACCGATTTTCGTCATTCAAAGACGCTTCGCCTTGGCGTGTTCGTCGAGCCGCGTTATCTGCACCTGCGCGACTAGAATGCAAAAAAAGAAAACTCTCGAAATCCCTACCCCCATAATACCAAGAAGTTACCTCGGGGAGGGATACCGCAAGGTTCCCATCAAGGGTACCTGCTGGTAACCTCGCGTCGCATTCGTTGGGACCCGGTTACCACAGGAGGTGTCCCTCACGAAACCCTCGCGGGACCCCATTGACCCCGTTGGAACGAATCGTATGCAAAGCCGCTTCCGCGCTGCCGGGTCCTACCGACAGTTTCACTCTTTCGTGGTGATGATACCAACGACGAACGGTATTCGCGATGGACTCTTCGTTGCATTCGTTGCATTCGTCGCGATGGACCCGCTTCCCGCCGACGCCTCACCTTCTGCATAGTAGCGACGGTCGCGCCTCGGCGAGTAGCTCCTCGCACTCCCCAGACTCCTCAGATCCCGAGGTAGACCCTCCTCCGCGCCACCCATCCATCCCCCAAGGATCCAAGAATCGAGCAGAGGCGCCATCCTCTCCTTCCAGCCTCCGCAGCATGCCTCTCCACGTCTCGCGTCCTACTTTCACTTATAAAGCCACCGCCATGGCTCTCACGAATTCATCAGCTCCAGTCCGCAGCTCTCTGCTCATCTCACTCTCTTCACTGAATAGCTCACTTTTGAGTCGACTCGAATATCTGATCAGCCATCACCAACCGCCTTCCATCTCTTCCAACCTCTCTCGCAAGCCCTCATGGCGAGCGCAATCCGCGTGCTGCTGCTGGCGGTGGGGCTGCTGGCGACGGCGGCGAGTGCAGCGAGGGACGTGATGGGGGGAGTGAGGGGGATGGTCCCTGGGGAAGCAAGCAGCAGTGATGGTAGCAGCAGCGCCGGCGGAGGGGGCCAGCAGCGGAAGGGCGCGCTCATTCTAGCAGCGGAGACCTTTGCTCACCACGCCCCTCTGCCCCTCTACCTCGACCACATCCCCCGCCGCCAGGCCCTCGCCACCAGTACGCAACACTGCTCCCCTTCCCTCCTGCTCTACCCGCATTGGTTCCTTTGTGCTGCTGCTCCCCTTCCTCCCACTGCTGTCAATGCTTTGCCCTTGCCTCTCATTTCCCCTCTCCCCGTTGCTCTCACTTCTTTAATCCCCTTTCATCCATGTCTCTGCTCCCCGTGCCTCTCATGTCTCTGCTTCCTTTTCCTCCCCCTGGATGATGTGAATTGTTGTGTCAAACCCACTGCTCCCTCTCTCCATCCCGATTCCTGTCTTCCAGCGAGCGACCAATGCCCAACAGTGACGGCCAGACTCCTTAATTCGTTCTGTTTTCCTTCCTCCCCTCCTTCCCCCCTCCCTCCTCTCAGGATGTGGGCGCATGACGGTGACGATCGGAGTCCTTACATTTTTCTGTTTCTTTTCCTCCCCTACTCCCTGGCCTGCAGCATGTGGGCGCACGACGGTGGCAATCTGGACAGCACCCTGGGCCGTACGACCTGCACAGCCTAACCCCACTTCTGCCGCTCCCTCCCACTTAACCCCCGCCTTCTTCCCCCTTCTCTCTGTCGGGCGTGTGGGCGCACGACGGTGACGATCCGCTCGCAGAACCTGGGGCCATACGACCTGCACAACCTAACTAACCTCCCCTCTCCCCCCCTTTCTCCCTCCCCCATCCCCTCTCTTCAGCATGTGGGCGCACGACGGTGACGATCCGCTCGCAGTACCTGGGGCCGTACGACCTGCACAACGACATCTACAACATGACCTTCTACAACGGCTGCGCCTACAACGTCACCAGCCCGCTGCGCGTGTGGCAGTGCTTCGAGTTCAACAACGTGTGGGAGGGCATCCTAGCCAACCCCGCGCCCAACCCCACGCAGTACCAGACAGGCGACATCTTTGTGCAGACCACGCCGGGGTATTGTGAGATGCAGATGAACCGCGGTGCTAGCGGCACTCTGCAGATGCTCCCCGGGGAGACGGTGAACATTGTGTATGCGTGGACGGGGGACTTCCGGCCCTGCGTGCAGGAGCTGCGCTTCGGCAACGGCAACAGCTACTCCATGACCAACACCACCGAGTGCCAGACTGCTGCCGTCATCTAGACCTCTCTTATAGGGTGACTAACCTTCATGACCAACACCACTGAGTGCCAGACTGCTGCCGTCATCTAGACTCAGCAACACCCGTTCACACCCTTAGAGATGGGATGATTCTCTGCTGCTTTCTGCTGGTGTAGCACTTCATTTTTCTTGTGGGGATACGCAATAATGCATGTCTGGCAGATGAAGAGGGACGTTACAGTAGTATTGTTTATGTGAGTGTTGCCCTGCAGGCATGTGCATGTTTAGTAGGTACTACGGTACTACCATATAATATCGTATCATTTAGGGCGTGTTCCTCCGCCTCGTATCAAGCGAACCTCATATCAGGCTCACACTGAAAATTCCCCTAAACCCAAAATGCTTGGCTAGTTTTACCAAGCAAGTCTGATATGAGGTTGCCTGATATGAGGCGTAGCAACACATCCTTATTCTCCTCTGTTATCAGCGTGAACTCCCATGAGGTGGGATGCCTGACTGTTGAGCTTTGCTGCTCCTGCTGCTCTCTGCTTCTCCCACCTTTAGGCTGCTGCTCTGATTCCGTGGCTGTAGTGCACTCTGCTGCATTCTTTGTCCAGGAGGGGATGGTGGGGAGGGAGGGGAGGGGAGGGGAGGGGATACGGTATGCCTAGCAAATGAGGAGGGAAGCTTGTACCTTACGGTATGTTTTCATGCATCATGCATGGTGAAATGGGATGGATGCGCTTGTGTATGGGTGTGAAGCTCATGAGTAAACAGCATTTCTAAAACCCTGTAGTTTACAAATAAATTAGCCTTGAACAGGACACCTGTATGTTTCTAGCTTAGAAAAGCACACCCACCCAACCCAAGCCAACCCCACCACATCTGCAGTTACTTTATGCAAGACTGACACCTCTGACAAGAGACCCTACTGTGTAACAAACATAATTATCCCATCCCAGCAGCTACGACACAAGCTCATTCTGTCAAGAAGGAAGGGCCTCTCGTCTCATGTCACGCCATCCGTTCCAAGCCCATGCCATGCCACCATCACTCCCGTCAAAGCACCTCCCCTTGATCCCGCTCAAAGCAGTTCCAGTGAGCCCACCAGGCGTAGGGTGGCATGCAGCTGCTTCTTGTCTGCCAGTGTTGGCATGAACCCATCCCCAAGCAGTCAAGGCCAACTCTCGAGACATGCAGCTGCTGCTTGTCTGTCACCTTCAGCGTACGGTAAACCCATCCAAGGCCGGCTCGGCGATTGAGGCGGCCTCGAAAGGCGTGCAGCTGCTTCGTGTCTCCCAGCTTCAGCGTGAACCCATCCCCAAGAAGTCAAGGCCAACTATTTTCTCCAAGCCCATGCAGTCATTACCCCCATCCCCGTCCCAAACCCTCCAGTTAAACCCGCCCAAATCAGTTCCAGTAAACGGCACGCCCGCCCAAAGCAGTTCTAGATGGTGGCGTGCAGTTGCTCCTCGTCAATGGGTTTGGGCACGAACCCATCCATGCCCGCCTCCTCACACCAAACACATGCAGTCATCACACCTTCCTGAAGTCGTCCACTTCACCCCCAGCGAAAGCAGCCCCCCTAAGCCCGGCCAAAGCAGTTCCAGAGAGTGGCGTGCAGCTGCTCCTCGTCAATCGGTTTCGGCACGAAGCCATCCATGCCCGCCTCCTCACAGCGCGTGCGACTGCCGCTGATGACGTCAGCCGTCATGGCCAGGATGGGGATCGCTGCCGCCCCGCTCTCCCTCTCCCTCCGCCGGATCGACCGCGTCGTCTCGTAGCTGTGGGTCATGGGGAAGAGGGGAAAAGGGTGGAGAGGGAAGTAGGTGTAAGGCAAATTAGAAGCGTTGACACGAGTGCTGCCGCCCCGCTCTCCCTCTCCCTCCGCCGGATCGACCACACCATCTCGTAGCTGTAGGTGGATCGGGGGGGGAGGAGATGGAGATGGAGTGGGGAGAAGGGGATGTGAAGGCGAATGGGAAGTGCTGACATGCTTGGCTGGTGCCCCGCTCTCTCTCTCTCCCTCTACCGGGTCGACTGCGTCGTCTCGTAGCTGCAGGTGACACGGGGGGAGGAGGTGGAGATGGAGAGGGGGGATGGAGATGATGCGAAGCGAATGAGAAGCTTGCACAACGGGTACTCATCCATGCATGCACACACACCAACTCACACCGCATTGAACCCCATCTGTACCGCACTCATCCTGAGTCACACATACACACTCACCCGTCCATGCCGGGCATCTGCACGTCCATGAAGATGGCATCAAACGGCTGCCCTCTCCCCTCAGCCTCCTGCACGGCCTGCAGCGCCGCCATGCCACTGTCCACCGCCTCACACAGCACCCCATAGCGCTGCAGCATGCGCGTTGCCACCTTTTGGTTCACCACATTGTCGTCCACCACCTGGGATGGGAGAGAAGGAAGAGGTGTGACAAAGGGTGGAGAGGGGTTCCTCAGCGTCCTGCACGGCCTGCAGCGCTGCCATGCCACTGCCCACCGCCTCACACAGCACCCCATAGCGCTACAGCATGCAGATCGCCACCTCTGGTTCACCACGTTGTCATCCACCACCTGATATGACAGGAAGGGTTGGGGAGGGGTAGAGAGGGGTGGAGGGGGGTTGAGAGGGGGACCGCTATGGTTGACTGTCCACCTCCTCACACAGCACTCCGTAGCGCTGCAGCATGCGTGTGGGGCGGGGCGAAGTGGGGTGGAGAGGGGTGGAGAGGGGTACATTGAAGCAACAAGGCCTAGCACAGCACACCGTAGCGCTCCCCCATGCGTGCGGTCACCTTCTGGTTCACCACGTGTCATCCACCACCGGGCGTTACAGGATTGGTTAGGGTTGGCCATGGCAAGGGGCGGCGATGGTGTGATGGGTGGGTGGAAAGCGCAGGGCACGGAACAAGGAAGCCGCAGTGTGAGGGTCGCAGGGGAAGGTGACAAGAGGCTGTACAGGGTGCTATGGTCGGGTTGTGGCTTACAGCGGGCGTCATTCACAGGAATGCGCTGGCTGCCAATGAGGGCGTGCATGGGCTTGCGGTGAGTTACCTCACCTCATGGATGGTGGCAGGCAGGCAGGCAGGCAACCCAATACCAATCCCAAGCCCCGCCCCAACCCCTCTAACCCCCGTGACCACTCACGAGAATGCGGCGACCGCCAATGAGCGCGTGCATGGCCTTGCGGCGCTGCTGCTTCTGCGTGTTGCTGCTGCGACTCGTGGTCATTATGCCCAACACCTGGAGGGGGGAGCGGGGAGGAGGGGGAGGGGTAGAAAAGATGGGATTGAAGAGCCATGTGAGACCGACAAGTTACGGAGCAGCGGCAATCAATCAGAAAACAGCTTCCTGACACCAGCCTCCCAATGGATGTTACCATGTTACCAGCAGTTATTTCTGTTACCTAACAGAGAGCACGGTTTGGTGCGAGGACGTTCTCTGCTCTCACAGATCTCACCTGCACGAGACACGCGGCAACAATGGACTTGCGCAGGGGCTTGAGCAGGCACTCCTTGAAGCACCACACTGCACCGCACAGCTGCACTAGACCAGCCTCAGATCTCACCTGCACCGGAACTACCTGCTCTTCAAGCTCTCACCTGCACCAGGCACGCGTCCACAATGGACTTGCACAGGGGCTTGAGCAAGCGCTCCTTGAAGCCACACGCCTCCACCTCGCCCTTCTCATCCGCCTCCAACCGACCCTACCTGCTCACCAAGCTCTCACTCCATGAGCCAGGGCAATGACTGCGCTTAGCTCTAGCATCTCACCTGCACGAGACACGCTGCAACGATGGACATGCGCAGCGGCTTAAGCAGGCGCTCCTCAAAGCCGCATGCCTCCACCTCGCCCTTCTCATCCGCCTCCAACTGGCACCACCTGCTCACCAAGCTCTCACTCACCTGCCCTTTGTTCTAGAATCTCACCTGCACCAGGCACGCAGCAACGATGGACTTGCGGAGGGGCTTGAGCAGGCGCTCCTCAAAGCCGCACGCCTCCACCTCGCCCTTCTCATCCGCCTCCAACCGACACGCCACCAGAATCAGCGGCGGCTGCTTGCGCCCCTTGCTGCCCCCCGCACCAGCACCACCACCACTGGTACCATTGGCAGCAGCACCTGCTCCTGGCTCCCCACCCTCCTCCTGAATCGTCTCCCCCAAGCCCCTCTCCCCTGCCCCCTTCTCCGCCGCAGCAAACGCCTCTCGGATCGCCTTTGCAACCTGAAACCCAGTCTTGGGCCCAAACGCGTCCTTATCCACAAAGATGGCATCCCACGGCCGAATGTCATCCTCAAACGTCGCCGACCCAGGCAGCGGCGGGCCGCGCAGGAACCCCCGTGTGGCAATCGCAGGCACCGACGCCGCGTCAGTGGCCGGAATCGGGGTAATCCCGAGGCGGGATAAGACGCTGCTCGCCACCCGCTGCCGAACCTGCAGGCCGTCCACCACCAGCACGGCTCGGTTGAGGAATTTCTCAATCATGGCGGCAGCATCGGGGTCGTCGTCCAGCATCGGGAGGAGGTCGGCGGGGAGGGAGGTGGGGACGGAGCGGGGGATGCGTGGCGGCATGAGGCCGAGGTTGACTGTGAGGACAAAGGTGGTGCCCACGCCTGGCTCGCTCACAAACGTCATGTCGCCCCCCATCAGCTTCACGAGGCGCTTCGAGATGGTCAGTCCGATGCCCGTGCCTCCGTGCGTGCGCGCCGTGCTGCTCTCCGCCTGGGGGGAAGGGGGAGGGAGAAGGGGAGAAAATGGGGCAAGGGGGAGGGAGAAGGGTGAAGGAAGTGGGCTCGCTGACTAACGGCATGTCGCCCCCCATCAGCTTCACCAGTGCTTTGAGATGGTCAGCCCGATGCCCGTGCCTCCGTGCGTGCGCGCTGTGGTCAGCCCAATGCCCGTTCCTAGCGAGGCCATGCATCTGTACATTCACAGCACCTTTCACGGACCTGTGTGAATTTTGAGAATTCTCAACAGTGACTTGTACGGACCTGCGTGAAGGGCTGGAAGATCTTGGACTGAGAAGACAGCGGGATACCCGCCCCGGTATCCTCGCACGTGATCAGCAGCGTGATCGTATCCTCTCTCTTCTCCCTCTCCTTCTCCCCCTCCGCGCCCTCCCCCTCCCCCACCATTATCTCCTCCTCCCCGCCCTTTCCCCCGCCCTCCATCTCCTCCATCCCCCCGTCCTGAATCCCCACAGAAACCCCATCCTCCATTTGAGAATACCCCGGCTGGAGCAGAGCAGGGAAGCAGCCCACCAGGTCGCCTGTTCCGCAGCTAGGCTGCCCCATACCCGCCCCTGCCGCCCCCCCCGGCCCGCACACCAGCGACGTCGGGCGCCCGGACAGCGTCTGGTAACCGCGCGAGATGCTCCGGCCAATCGCGGCGAGCGACGCCGAAATCGGCCCGGTCTGACGCAGCGGCGAGCACGCTAGCTGGACCTCCGCGGAGTGCAGCCCCCAGCCGTCGCCAGCTGTCAGCTTGCGATTGGCCAGCGCGAGGGAGGCGGGCGGGGCGGAGGCGGCGAGAGTGTTGAAGCGGGAGCGGAGGGTGAGGGGCGAGGGGAGGGAGGAGGGGACGGGCATGGCGGCGAAGGGCGCAGAGATGTGCACGAAGATGTGGCCTCGCTGGGTGAACTTGATGCTGTTGCCGATGAGATTCACCACCACCTGCCGCAGGCGAATGCGATCTCCCACCACCACCTCGGGCACGTTCGGGTCCACCAGTGCCGCCACTGGTGGGGGGCGGGAATGGACGAGGAGAGAAAAAGATGGGAGAAAGGAAGGATGGAGGCAAGGAGGAAGGGAGGATGAGTTGGGGCGGCAGGCAGGCGGATGCTCAAGCATACAACACTTGTGCTCAAATCCCAGGCTGCGAGGTTCATGTTTCCCACACCACTTAGGGTTTTCCCAGGCTTGCCTCAACAACACACGGCTCTCTCGCTCTAGCCCAAAACTCACGCTCGAGCCCCAGGTCCTGAGACTTGGTGCGGAAGATATCAAGGTGTTTTTGAGAATTCTGAAAAACACCCTTCAGACTTGGTGCGGAAGATATCGAGAATGTCATCCACGGACGAGCGCAGGTTGAAGGGCACGTGCTCGAGCTCGACGCGGTCCTCCCAAAGACGAAAACCCCAAGGGTGCAAACCCTCTGGTTGAGCCCAGGCACACAGCACACTCACATTCGAGCCCCAGGTCCTGCGACTTGGTGCGGAAGATGTCGAGAATGTCGTCGACAGAGGAGCGCAGGTTGAAGGGGAGGTGCTCGAGCTCGAGGCGGTCGGCTTCGACCTTGGCGAGGTCGAGCACGTCGTTGAGCAGCGACACCAGCGTCTGCCCACACGCCTTGGCCATGCGCGCGTGCTCCTGCTGCTGCGCGTCCAGCTTCGAATCCAGCAGGAAATCCAGCATGCCTGGGGGGAGGGAGAGGGGGAGGGGGTGGGACGGAAGGGAGAGGGCGTGGGGCAGAGGGAGTGGGGTGAGAGAGGGCGCAGCAGGAGAGGCAGGTTGAACGGGAGGTGCTTAACGCGAGGCGGTCGACCTCGACCTTGGCGAGCTTTTTGAGATATTTAAAAGAGCCTGCGGGAGAGAACAAGCGTGGCTTACCTAACACGCCATTCATGGGGGTGCGGATCTCGTGTGAGACTGTTGCAAGGAAGTTGCTCTCGGCTCGGTCGGCCGCCTCGGCGAGGGCTTTAAGAGCCTTCATGCGGCGGTAGCGGCAGCGCATGGCGGCATTCTGGCGACTCGAGACACCTTACCGGGAGCTGTTGGAGAATCCTATTACAAAACCCGCAGCTGCAAGGAGAACGCAAGCACGGCTTACCTAGCACGCCGTTCATGGGAGTACGGATCTCGTGAGAGACAGTAGCCAGAAAGTTGCTTTTCGCCCTGTCAGCCGCCTCGGCGCGGGCTTTAAGCGCCTCCATGCGGCGGTAGTTGCGGCGCATGGCGGCGTTCTGGCGGCCCATGGTGAGGAGGATGTAGAAGACGAGGATGAAGACGACCAGCAGCAGCACTCCCCACGAGAGAGAACTCCATCCCCACGCCACCGTGTCACTCTCCGTGTACCTGGTGGCGGGGTTAAAGGGGGGAGACGGGAGGGGGGAAGCAAGGGAAGAGCAGAGGTTGGCGAGGAGGATATAGAAGACGAGGATGAAGACGGCGAGCAGCGGCACTCCCCAGGAGAGGGAACTCCACCCCCACGCCACTGTGTCACTCTCGGTATAGCTGATTGAGAAGGGGAGAGAAAGAGAGGGGGACAACGAGATGAGGAAGCAAGGAAGAGTGAAACCGGCGAGGTTGTTGTGTTTGCCACATCCTCAGGTCTCCAAGCACCTCTTGCCCTCCCATTTTCCCCAAGCCCCCTCTCCACCAAACTCAGTAACCACATAATTGCAATTTAACAGTTACTAAGCACCGTGACACACTCACCGGCACCAGAGCTCGTACTGCCGAGATGGGTCGCGGAGGTCAATGGGCTCCACGTGGCGGAACCTGGTTGGCTGCAGCAGCTCGTCCGAGGCGGGCGCGACTGTCTGGTCGGGCAGTGTGGTGTAACCGTCGGTGCGCTCGCTGTCGTACATCGGGATGGGTGCAGTGCGGTTCGTTACGTCGTACAGCTGCAACTTGAAGGGCGCGGCTGCAGGGGAAAGGGCGAGAGGCACGGGGCGGGTGGGTCAGCTTCTTGAGAAGGTATTTGAAGCGCATAGTGGCGCTTTTTGCGTCGACTCAAAGGCCACCTCGAAAGGGAGAGGCACAGGGCGGGTGGGTCAGCTTGTTGAGAAGGAAGTTGAAGTGCGTGATCGACACCTCTTCCAAGGCACAGCATGTTCATGAAACGCGCCTATCATGCCAGCTTTTGGGTCGACTCAAAAGCAGCTTCTTGAGAAGGGAGTTGAAGTGCTTCATCCCACAGGGCACAGGGCGCCTCTTCCAAGGCACAGCGTGTTGATGAACGCGCCAATCATGCCCCCCATCCCCTGCCGTGCCTCTCAAGGCGATTCACTATGACTCAAAAGCTGAGAGCATCTCACAGCACAAACGTCAAAGCCTAGACTTGATCTCGAGACCTCTAGACTCACAAGCAGAGAGCAGCTTCTTGAGGAGGAAGTCTATGAGCGCCTGCATGTCAATGACTGCGCCGATCATGCCCTTCATCTCCTGCCCGCCGTCTGTCGTGTTCTTTAGCACTGGGAAGCCCAAACCTGCACAGCACATGGCATGGCGTGGTGTGGGATGGGATGGGATGGGATGGGATGGGATAGATTCACATATAAGAATTCTCAAAAGCTGCGCCCATCATGCCTTTCATCTCCTGCCTGCCATCCGAAGTGTTCGTTGGCACTGGGAAGCCCTGGCTTGCACTGCACGTGGGGCGGGCATGGCATGGTGTGGCGTATGATGGCATGCGATGGCGTGGGATGGCATGGTGTGGTGTGGCATGACATGGTATGGTGTGGGATGGCGTAGCATGGCATGGTGGTGCGGTATGGCATGGCATGGCATGGTGTAGTGTGGTGTGGTGTGGTGTGGTGTAGTGTGGTGTGGTGTGGTGTGGTGTGGCATGGCAGGAACCGACAGTGGAAGAATCACAGTGGGACAGCACAAAAGAATCCTGAGGAAAAGAAAAGAAGAGAAGAAAAAAAAAATACCGAGGCCGCGGTTGCCGCTGGCGAGGGTGACGAAGGTGGGCGTGATGGTGATATTGCGCGTTTTGATGCCATGCTCTATGGCATCCTTGTACCGGCTGTACTGCCGCCCGTCGTAGCAGCAGTCGCTGTTGTTGGTCCGCGACCCCTCCGAGATATACAGAAACACAGCGTACCAGTCGCGCGGGGGCGACGGCTGCTTCGTGCTCTGGCTCTTGATCGTCACGCCGAACTTGGACTCAAATTCGGCTCTGTGGGCGGTGGGAAGCGGTGGGAAGTGGTGGGAAGCGGTGGAGGGAGTGAGGGGGGTGAGAGGGACGCACCGAGGCCGCGGTTGCCGTTGGCAACGAGGGCGAAGGTGGGCGTGATGGTGGTGTTGAGTGTCTTGACGCCGTGCTCTATGGCCTCCTTGAATCGGCTGTACTGCCGCCCGTCGTAGCAGCAGTCGCTGTTGTTGGTGAGCGGACCCCGGGAGATGTACAGAAACACGGCGTACCAGTCGCGCGGAGGCGACGGCTGCTTCGTGCTGTCGCTCTTGATCGTCACACCGAATTTCGACTCGAAATCGGCTCTGGGGGTGGGTGTGTGGGGGGCAGAGAGGTTGAGTCGAATCTAAAGTCGCAGCTAGGTTAGGCGACGGCTGCTGCTCTGGCTCTTGCGACCTTCTGGCCGTGCGACACTCTGGCTGTGCGACTGGCTGTGCGACCCTCACCTCAGACCGTGCGACGGCTCACTGCTGGGCGACCGTCGTCTACACCTGCCACCCTTACCGCTGGGTGTGCGTGACGAAGACGATCCAGGTGATGGCGGAGAGGCAGTGCGACCCTCGCTTCTAGCCCCCACTTTCACCCTTACCGCTGCGCGTGCGTGCGACATTGTGCTCACCGCTGGGCGTGCGTGACGAAGACGATCCAGGTGATGGCGGAGACCCACGGGCGCGCGTAGCTCGTCTCGTTCACGTACGCCTGGAAGCTCTCCCGCGTGATGCAGCTGCCGTACCCCCACGGATTGCCGTCCGCCGTCTCGCCGAACACGTCCACCAGCCCGGTAAAGACCTGCGACGAAGGCGAGAGAAGGCGAGGTGGGATAAACGACACTAGTCATGAGACAAGGCACGATTAGCGCGTGATGCAGCTGCCGTTCCCCCACGCGTTGCCGTCCGCCGTCTCACCGAACACGTACGAGAACTCTTGAAATACGCCTCCCCTTGCAACTGTGCAGAAAACAAATCTGCACAAGGAGGCGCTCTGCGGAAAGGGTAACCGCAGAGAATTTGCGCACTGCGGTGTCGCACGGGAGTAAGAGAACTCTTGAGATACGCCTGCGACACGAGGGGAAGGGAAGTAGAACGGCACCGCGATGGAAGAGGGTTCAGATCAGAAGGCATCCCCGCGGTTACGGATGGATGCGGGTTTTAAGAGATCGCGAGACCTACCCTGCGAACGACCTCGAACACTCTGAGAGCGGCGTTGCGCGAGATTTCTGAGAGGCCTTGCGACGATCTAGCGAAGCCGTGCGACGTTGTATCGAGGCCGTGCGACATTGCAACGATCCCTGCGACGTTGTCGCAATAGGCGAGGATAGTAGTCGTAGCGCCGCAAGCTACGATGAATGCACCCGGGTGTAGGAGCGGCGGCGACGACGACGACGCCGACGACGGCGCCGGCGATGACGGCGACGGAGACGACGATGATGATGACGTCGGCGGCGGCGAGAATGAGGACCAACAGCAACAACCACCAGATATCGCAAGGCGTCGTACTGTCGCGCATTGATTTGAACCAGTCGCATATTCCGTCGCCGTCTGTCGCACAAGTACCCAACGCATTCCGTCGCACAACTCATCACGTTCCGTCGCACAGACTCCCATCGCAATCCCCCCTGCAACCTCCCCTGCCTGTCGCGAACCACGCCATTTACCGCACACTCTTTTCAGGCTGAAAGTAGGAACCGCTCTGCACCGCACGATGTCGTTCTTATCGCCATCCGCATAATACCCGTTGGGAAAAAAAGGCTCGGCGGATAGATTCCAGGGCAGGAAATCAGATCCAAGATCGAATAGTAAGGACAGGAAACACAGCATTGCAACATAGACGATAAGTACAGTGCCGTACGATCGCAACTCACCATCGCGTGGTCGCTCGACGACCGAAACTGATGCACGAGCGAACGCGCGCGTTCACCGCACCACGTCAGCAGGCTGGAGTACCGCTCGTCCTGCAGAGCGCTGTGAGAATACAACACGGTCCACGTGGCAAGCGCTAAACCACCCAGCAGCCACGCCACGAGGAATATCGTGAGCCACTGTCGCTGCAGCACCACCCATGGTTGCACCTTCCCGATCCCTTTCCCCTTCCCCGGTCCCGCCTTCCCCGCGCCTCGCGAAACCTTTCCGCCGGATCCGGACGGCGCAGATGCCGCCTGCGCGGGTGGACTGGGGCTTGGCGGCTTAGCGTCTGCGTCGGCGGAAACTTCACCGTTCTGCGCGGCGTCACGGCGGAAGCGCGGGAGGCGTTGCGAGGAGCGTTTGAGTGCGAGAGCTAGGCGCTGACCCCATCCCGCAACCGCGCGAATGTCTGGAGCCATAGGGCCTCGACAAACAATGTAGATAAATAATGACTATGAATTAGTCAAATAGTATAACAACTCTTTAGAAACCCTTGAGTACGATGAATGAAAGACCTCCACTCAGCGAAATAAGCGGAGCAAGAATGGGTCCTGGAATCCTTGCTCAACCACCATGGCTACCAACCAAACCCCAGCCGAAAGAACCAGGAGGAGAACGAAAAGCCAAGAGCAATCATGAAACAAAAACCAACTCCGAGGTTGATCTGGATTGGGTTGGGAGGAACTTGGGAAAGACGACACACCAACCGAACAACACCGCTCAATCAAGATTCACCACCACCGCCATTGTCAACAGAAGCGAAGTGTACGCGTTGCGGACTTCCTGCCCGAAACCGAAGTCTCGAGTCCCGACAGACACTGACGCTTGCGAGTGACGGAGCTAGGTGAAGTGCATGCCCACGATTTTACCGAGGTTCTGCTCTGCAACCAAATTCGGTGGCATCGGGGGATTATCCCCACCAGCACCAGCACACCTGCCAGCATTCACGGGTGGCATGGATGGCTGGAATGAGGACCATTTTGAAAGCTATGTAGATTCCCGACATTATAAATGGCGTATTCCTAAAGTCGGGGCCGGGGATACGGCTTCCGAAATATTGAACACACGAACTGCATTCAGCAAGCCACCCCTGTTCGTGATATATTTAGACAGATGGCTATCTGGTTACCTGGAATCGCAGCTTTCGTCAGAGTGTGTTACAATTGCCAATGCAGATTATTGAGCGAGTGATATTCGGTATAAGCCTGAGTGTTCAATGTTACACACTGCACATTGAGCGTGAAATTTGTCGCAATTCCAAAAATTGTTGCACAGCACCTTCGCGAAACATTATTTCGTCAAACTTGCTGGTTCTCGCCCGAATCGGAAGACCCAAAGCTCGATTCTGAAGTACGCAGTTCGGGCGATTGGGGGTCCCTGAGGGTCACGTATTTATGGCATAATTGTGGTCGTGACTTCGATTTTGATTTTGTTTTCCAAACCTAATTACCCATACTTGGATAACAAACCCATTATCCATATTTTATCACTCTGCCTCTTCCACCTTGTGACTGTATAAATTTGTTTCTCCACCCACAATCCCCACCCGCTTAGTTGCGGAGGGTAATTCATAAATGGCTAGGTGAAAAAGAAGCATTGTACCAACCAGCGCAGCCTGCACCGCATTCAAGCAGAGTGAAACAAAGCGAATCATTTGAAGGATCTTTTTGTAGAATCGAGAAATTGAGGGCTTTCGAGATATGGTAATTAATTTTAACCATTGTTTTATTTCATAATGTTTCTGAATCATATCGAGTGGAAAACACAGCGCATAAACCATATAATACTATGTACTGGGCTTCGAATACATGTGCCGGACCAGTACGGGACAGCCCGCCGTTGTGAAAAAAAAAAAACAGCTGTTCGGAGGGAGGTCGAGCGGAACACGACACAAAAGGCAGCCACATTCCCTCGTGTAGTGCTTGCCCACACAACCTTTCCCTCCACACGGCTTCACATAATCGTATCATGCCTGGCGACACTCTCGCGTTCTGGATGGACACCGCGTGAAAGTGGGAACAAAACATCATCTTTCATAGGTTGGCCTCGTTGCGGTAATAGAGCAATATGCGGTGTAGTGGTGTCATCCGCTATGTAAATTTCATCAACACCTGTTACAAAAATGGTAGAGATGGTTTGAATCATTCAGTGATGTCGCGCTGCTCGCCCCAGCAGCAGGTGCAGGACTGCCAGTGCCCCGGCTCTGAAGCCAGTGTGCTTTTATCGAGTCAGCAACACCCCAGTCCATGACTGCGCTTAGGGTCTGCTGCGCGCCAAGCGCAGCCTCACCTCTCAAGGCGGCCCCGCGCGCCATTTTGGCGGGAGTGCGCACGCGGGCTTCGGTTTCAGAAACGTCTTCAGGACTAGGAATGCGCGCGTGGCTTTTCCGCAAGTACCTTCCGCGCGCCCCCCTCCCCTCCGCCATCGCAGCGCACAGCCAAGCGCCGTGCCTCGTCGCCCTATCCCGCTCTCCACACGCCAATCCGTTATCTGGTTGCGCCTCGCTTACCCAATATGCCACGTTCATGAAGCGATCCACGTCAGACGGCGCGGATCCCTTCCACGTCAGCAAGCGGAGAGCCGTCACGACCAGCGCGGCGGGGGAGGCCGCGGGAGCGCAGGGCGGGCGGAGCAAGGGCGGGGATGCGGGGCGGGGCGGGCCGTGGATGCTGGTGGGGCTGGGGAATCCGGGGATGAAATACGACGGCACGCGGCACAACGTACGTTGCTGGCGCATGGAGATTGTTATGAGAAATCTATGAACCAAGTTCTTTAAAGAGGGAAGGGAGAGCGTGGGGGATGGAGATGGTGGGCCGAGGGGAGAGGAGGGGAAATGGGGGGAAGGGGAAGGGGAAGAGGCGGAAAGGGGGAGGGGGAGTGGGTGGAAGGGGCGCCTCCGGTTTTGTCTTTGAGAGATCTAAGGACCGGATTTGTTCTTGTGGTGGCTCAGAAGGCGTCTCAGAACGTTGAAAGATGAGGGGGGTAGGAGAAGGGAAGGAAACGGGAGTAAGGGAGGATATCAGAGGTTCAGAGGTCCGTGTTCAGAGTTTGGGGTTTGGGGCGGGTTTTGGGGTTTGGGGTCGGGGGTTTGGGTTGGGGGTTTGCAGTTGGGGTTAGAGTTTGGAGACCATCTTACTCAGAGCCTGCCGTTCTTTTGTCACTCCGCTTCTGCATTCTCCTGGAATGCACAGCAACAGAGGGTGTGTTGCTGAGCCCCCTGGATGCACACAACGGCTCGATGCATGCACATCCCTCTGCTCTTCCCCCCCCCTCACTTCCCCCTCCCCTGCTCCCCAAATGACTCCTGAGTCGACTCAAAATTCTCCCCTGGAGGCGAGGCACACAAGGGCTCGATGCACGCGTATCCCTTAGCCCTTTCCTTCCCCCCTTCACTCCCCAAGTGATTGTTGACTTGACTCGATGCACCAGCCGTTCGAGGTGATAGGCATGTCGCAAGCGGAGGGCATATCGCTGAGCGCCATGCAGAGCAAAGCCGTGGTAGGCAAGGGGCGCATTACATTACATTCCCCTCTCCTCTTCATTCCCCTAACCCTTTCCCTCCCTCCTCTTTCCTGTTTCAGATGGGCTTCGAGGTAATCAATCGACGCCATAGCTCGGGCAGAGGGCATATCGCTGAGTGCCATGCAGCGCAAGGCAGTGGTGGGCAAGGGGAGGGCGCAGTGATGCACTGCATACCCCTCTCCTCTTCCTCCCCCTACTTCATCCTCTCCCCGCTCTCCTCCTGCTCCCCTTCCCACCAGGTGGGCTTTGAGGTGATAGACGCCATAGCCAGGGCGAAGGGCATATCGCTGAGTGCCATGCAAAACAAAGCCGTGGTGGGCAAGGGGAGGGCGCAGTGATGCACTGCATACCCCTCTCCTCTTCCTCCCCCTACTTCATCCTCTCCCCGCTCTCCTCCTGCTCCCCTTCCCACCAGGTGGGCTTCGAGGTGATAGACGCCATAGCCAGGGCGGAGGGCATATCGCTGAGTGCCATGCAAAACAAAGCCGTGGTGGGCAAGGGGAGGGCGCAGTGATGCACTGCATACCCCTTTCCTCTTCCTCCCCCTACTTCATCCTCTCCCCGCTCTCCTCCTGCTCCCCTTCCCACCAGGTGGGCTTTGAGGTGATAGACGCCATAGCCAGGGCGGAGGGCATATCGCTGAGTGCCATGCAAAACAAAGCCGTGGTGGGCAAGGGGAGGGCGCAGTGATGCACTGCATACCCCTCTCCTCTTCCTCCCCCTACTTCATCCTCTCCCCGCTCTCCTCCTGCTCCCCTTCCCACCAGGTGGGCTTTGAGGTGATAGACGCCATAGCCAGGGCGGAGGGCATATCGCTGAGTGCCATGCAAAACAAAGCTGTGGTGGGCAAGGGGCGTATTTCCGGCTGCCCCGTGCTGCTGGTGAAGCCACAGACGTTCATGAACCTCAGCGGGGAGAGCGTGAGTGGTGGGGGGTGGGGATGGGAGGGAGGGGGGTATGAGGGCGATAGGTACCAGGAATATCCCTGATTGTCGGGCAGAGCAGGGCAGTGCCAGGTGAGGGCTCATGCCATGCCACATCATGCCATGCCACATCATGCCATGCCACATCATGACATGCCACACCATACCATGCCCCAACATACGATCATGGTAATACCATGCCCCATGATGCGTCACAAGCCATATCACAACACATATCAACCCCCTGCCACCGCTCCCACATACCACCACACCCCATGGCAGGTTGGTCCTCTGGCTCGCTTCTACAAGATTCCACCTGAGCGAGTCATGGCTGTGAGTCATTCCCTGCGCAGGCCACCGTGCTGTTTCCCATGTCCATCCCATGCTATCCTATCCCATCCCATGCCATGCCGCGCCATGCTGTGCCATCCCGTGCCATGCCGTGTTGTGTTGTGGATCATGCCATGCTATGCTCTGCCGTAATTCATGCCATTTCATGCCATGCTGCGCAGTAACCCATGCCCATTTCATATCGTGTGCTGTGCCTTCCCATGCCATGCCGTGCCATGCCATGCCATGCCATGCCATGCCGTGCCATGCCATGCCATGCCCTGCCATGCCATGCCATGCCCTGCCATGCCATGCCATGCCATGCCATGCCATGCCCTGCCATGCCATGCCATGCCATGCCATGCCATGCCATATCATCAATCACTGCCCTTCAGCAAGCAGCGACCATCTTAAATCATAAACCCGAATCCGTGAATGCAAAACCCAAAACTCCCTCACTGCTGCCATCCATATTGAGGTCACTTTTGAGAATCCTAAACCGTAGACCATGAATGTAAAACCCAAAACTCCTCACTGCTGCCATCCCATTCCTCAGATCTACGATGACATGGACCTGGACGTAGCTTCCATGAAGCTTCTTGCCAAAGGGGGGCACGGGGGACACAACGGGTGAGTTCAGGAGAATGGGTTAAGAAAGCCACTTCCCTTTTTGTTTGCTTGCTTTCCTGCGTCAATAGCATCTCCTATTTTGTTTTTTTATCATTTCACCACCCGCCCGTTATATCCCAATTTGATTACCCCATGCCCCATTCCCCCTGCCCCATCCCCCCCTGCCCCATCCCCCCATTCCCCATCCACCCGTGCCCCATCCACCCATGCCCCATCCCCCCATGCCCTATCCACCCATGCCCCATCCCCCCATGCCCCATCCCCCCATGCCCCATCCACCCATGCCCCATCCCTCTGCCAGCATGAAGAGCATCATGCAGCACTTTCAGGGCTCCAGAAACTTCCCTCGCCTCAGATTCGGTCAGTGGCGGGATTCAATTCAGTCGGTGGTCTAACAGTTGGCTCAAACCACTCCTGCCTTGCTCTGGCCATGCGGTTTAGATTAGCAGTGGTGGTGTGAAGCAAAGCTGGCAAGAACAAGGTCTGTGTGCTATACCGACCTGCTGTGTGCTATGCCGACCTGCTGTGTGCTATGCCGACCTGCTGTGGCCATGTGACCCGCTGTTGCCATGTGACCCGCTGTTGCCATGTGACCCGCTGTTGCCATGTGACCTGCTGTTGCCATGTGACCCGCTGTTGCCATGTGACCTGCTGTTGCCATGTGACCTGCTGTTGCCATGTGACCTGCTGTTGCCATGTGACCTGCTGTTGCCATGTGACCTGCTGTTGCCATGTGACCCGCTGTTGCCACGTGACCTGCTGTTGCCATGTGACCCGCTGTTGCCACGTGACCTGCTGTTGCCATGTGACCTGCTGTTGCCATGTGACATGCTGTTGCCATGTGACCCGCTGTTGCCATGTGACCCGCTGTTGCCATGTGACCTGCTGTTGCCATGTGACCTGCTGTTGCCATGTGATGTGCTGTTGCCATGTGACCTGCTGTTGCCATGTGACATGCTGTTGCCATGTGACCCGCTGTTGCCATGTGACCCGCTGTTGCCATGTGACCTGCTGTTGCCATGTGACCTGCTGTTGCCATGTGACCTGCTGTTGCCATGTGACCTGCTGTTGCCACGTGACCTTGTGTTGCCAAGGCGTATGTGCTGCAGCAGTTTCAGTCAGAGAGAAAGGGCCTTTTGAGTTGAGTTAAAAACCGGCTCATTCCCTCCATGTGGTTCACGTGCAGGAATTGGGAGACCGCCAGGGCGCATGGAAGCCAAGGTTTATGTGCTGCAGAAGTTTTCAGACAGGGAGAGAGAAGAGGTGAGAGGAGCAGGTGGTGTGTTGAAACACTGGTGTTTTACTCTGTTCTGAGACGCCGGAGAAGAGCAAGTTGAGTTCTGCGACTCAACAACGATGGTTCTAGAAACAAGGAATAGGTATGCGACGTTGAATCTCAGCTGCGTATTTCATGGCATGGTGGTGGTTCCCTCTTATGCAATCATATTTGAGGTCCGTGATACAGGTGGATGTGGCTATAGAGAGGGCGGTTGATGCATTCCGGTTGGTGGCAGCAGAGGGAATGGATAAGGCTGTCAGCACCTGGAATTTGCCGCGCCGGTCATCTGCCAACACCAAGGCCTAGTGCAGGTATGCACGGAGCATGATTCGAGTTTGATTCATAGAATGCCTAGTCAACGATGAGATCACAAAACAAGACGAGCCATGCTTTACGTGCTGTGCAATGTGCACAGCACAATGTGCTGAGATACAATGCAGGGATACAATGTACGTGCTGAGATACAATGTGCTGTGTTGTCTTATATTACTGTGTGCTTTCTGCAGGGATATCGTCATCTCAAGTCTTGCTAGACTAACATATTTCGACTAACAATTTGGATGCCCATCATTACCTTGGACATTCGTGCACTCCAAGATGATACACGTATACATACCAATTTGCTGTCTTTTCTTAACCAGTGAAGTGCTCACTTGGTCTACTAGGAAAATAAAACTATTGACTATATAACTGATAAGTAGAATGGAAGGGATTGGGGTTGTGAGAATGGGAGGGAAGAAATCAGCCAAATCCCGCGAGAAACCCCCCTTTGCCGTCTTCGACACCGCCCCCTTCGACGTCTGGCGTGGGTTACCAGACAAACGTTTGTCGCTCGACCCCGGTGACGTGTCGAACGCCCCCTCCCGCTTTGAAAGGGGCGTTTCAGCTGCATGCAGGGCGCCCCACCTCATGCAACCAACCACCAATAGGGCCCCGCCACCCTCTGCCAAAAGCTCCTCCCGCCGCCGCGGAACGCGCCCTGCCTCGTCGCCCTTGCACCCGAGTCTGTCTCGGCAAGGGGGGTGGCAAACAGCTAATACCCTAAGTGTGTTCTCATTTTGTTGCAGCTCGGTTCCTACATCGGCAGCCCGGTAGCATCCCCACCGTCGCGTGCCCGTCAGACCGTCGACAAGTTCGTCGAGGACAATGAGGTCATCGTACTCGACCGGTCGCCCCTTCAGAAGGCCTCCGAAGCGGCACCGAAGCCTCCGCCTAATGCTTTTGCTCCGCTGCGGGACATGCTGCAGGGCCTCGGGAAAAGGGGTGGGAAAGGAGTGGTTGCGGGGGAGAAAAGTGGTGCCTCAGCCGGGAAAGGAGCCGTGGAAAAGCGAGGTGCCCCTACCCCGTCCGGCGGCGCTGCGGGGAAAGGAGCGGCGGAGGCATGGGGTGCTCCCACCTAGGTCGCGGTCGCTGCTAGGTTGCTGTCGAAGACAAAGGCCGACTCAACTGCGCAGCTCGGTAGTGTTGGCCGTGCTGTCGAACTTGTGGGAAAGAGGGCGTCTTCCTCTGCCCTTCCCGCCGCTCATGTCGCTGCTCCCGTCCTAGGCACTGCCCGCCTTAGCGAACCGTGTTCCCCTCCTCTTGGTCCTATTACTGCGTCGAAGAAAAGGCAGGCTGTGACGGAGTCGTCGAAGCGAGCTGCAGAGGCGACAGAGAGCAGTGATGCGGTGGAGATGGGCAGCCTCCTTGGCCAAGCTCCTGTCGAGACGGCGTCTACCTTCGTTGCTGCTCGACAGGAGAAGGCGAAAAATGTGAAGGTGCTCGCCTACGCCCCACCTCCACCGGACGACCAAGGCAAGACGTACGGCACCAAAGCTCCCTTCAAAGGACCAGGCATGATGCCGCAGAAGGGGAAGTTCGTTTCCGAGCAGACCATCGGCGGGAGGAAGCGGTTCCTGGGCACTTTTGAAACGGAGGAGGACCAAAAGTTTTGTCCGGCCATCTGCTGGCGCGTGTACTTCCCCAACATAGACCTTCGGAAGTACGATAGGTTCACGGCGCAGGATGAGGAGCAGTGGAAGGTCTATCTCGATGCAGCCGCTGGTATGCCCACCGGCGTTTGGAGCGAGGCGCAAGAACAAGAGGAATGCCGCTTCGAAGAGTGAGTTCTGTCGAGGTCCTGTCGTTCGCCTGTCGTCAGCGGTTTGGTTGTTTCAGTCGAAGTGATGTCGGTTTTACTGTCGAAGTCATGCCGTCTGACTATCACATTTGTTCCGATGGGCAGTTTCCAGTCACTCCTGGCGACGGCAAATACGGAAGTGAGAGCTAAAACCGATTGGGGAATCGCGATGTGCGCGGCGACAGGGAAGGTGGCGACGCTTGGCACGAAGCACGGGAACCTGATTTATCCGGTCCCAAAAAGATGAACGCGACGGTGCACATGCTGTCCGTCGCAGCAACGGTGGTAAGCTTGTGGGCAGCCTACAGGAAACTGTCCAGGGAAGATATTCAGAAGGATGCCCTAGCTGCCGCAAACGCAACGCTCTTCGCCCCGGAGATGGCGAAATGGGCTATTGCGGCTGCCATGGCCGCGCTCGTGTCCGTTATTTTGCACGTGGGCAAGACGGTCCTGGCCAAGCAGTGGCCCGATTTGCTATATTCGACGGCTGTCCAAGGCCTGGGCTCGACTGACGCCATTCTGTTGCAGATGGTGCGCGTGGCGGCACAGGTCTGTACGCAATGGTGCTGCTGTCACTTTGCTGCCCATTTGCTGGAGGACGCGGGCTATGGGAGCCTGGCTATGCCAAGAAAAGAGCAAGGCGAAGCAGGGCGAGGAGGATGCTACCGAGGAGGGGACAGGGGAGTAATACAGGCGGGCGCATTGCGTGGGGGTGTTTGCATCATTCGACAGATGTGTCTGTTGTGTCGATAGTTTCATCGACAGAATGTTTTGGCTTGATGTTCCTTGACCTTTTGTTTTCAATAATGCTCAATTGGTTGATTTTGTCGAGATGGTGTCACAACACGCATTAGGGGAAGATGCTATGTAAACCCTGAAAGAACAACCTACACTCGTTCCCCCCTCGTCACAATTGGCCGTCGAACTAGGGCACGTGCCCAATGTTCCCATGAACTCCTTCCATTTGTCTTTGAACACCTTCTCCGCCCAATCTGTGGTGCGGAGTTCGACGCGAATGAGCTCCGGCGTGATCCTGAGGCGGTCTTTGTCCTTGCGGTTTTCTTCTGCAGACTCAGCTGCTTCCCCGAATCCTCCTTCAGAACGAGCCCTTCCGCCAGCATGTTGATCGAGTATTTATTGACGATAGAGTCCAGCTTGTCGATGACCGTCGACGTAGCCGCGCTTCTGTCATCGATCCGGAACAGCTCGACGACCTTCATGACAACCTCCATTTTCCTTTTGCAGGGCCTTCACTTCAGGGGGTACGGGAGGTGGAGTCGGACTGTACTTGCAGAACTTGACAGCGAAGCCCCTTGTGTTATTCAGTGGGCTTGGCCCGTCCCAGTACGATGACGTCGTCCGCATGGTCTCGCAATTGCACCACGGCCACACCACCGCGTTGAAGAATGCCTGGTCGAGCTGGCTGCCCACTGTCGAGTGGGTGTTGATTGTTGGGCTTGCTGTTGTGCCGGGGTAGCTTTCTCGGTCGGCGTCTGCGGCAAGCTCTCGCTCTCCTCCACATTTGCAGCTGCGCTTGTCGCGACGGTTTTCTTCAATGCGTCGAACGCTTTCTGTAGTTGCGCGAGCGCCTCTGTCTTCGCCTCCAACTCCGACTTCATCGAGCGCTTCTCCCGCTCCAATGACTCAACCTGCTTCTCAAGGTGGTTGATCTGGATTGCTTTTTTCCCTACCTCCTCCTTGTGGAAGTTGATCTTGGCCCGAAGTTGTGTGATGAGGTACTTGGTGTTGAGTTGAGAGGATACGTCCTACAAACAAGAACACATGCGGTCAGTGGGCTGATGCAAAGTCATCGGATATAGATTTGGATGGGCCATCTTACCGAAGCTCTCGACATCGTGGGGTTGGTTCGCATCTCGATGCCGTACTTGTCGAGTAGGTACACGTCGAGCGCCCACTTTTGAAAATCTTCGTCCTTGCACAAACCCGACATCTGGGCGTAAGGGTGACGCTCGCAGTCGCAAACGCTCACCCCGTCAAAGGGGTGGTCTTCGCAATGGACGTAGTACATCGCAAGATCCTCTGCGATGGGCAGTCGGGCGGCTTGCAGGGCCTCCAAGAAACTTTTCGCTGCGTGGTACATATGTTCCTTGTCCTACTCGTTGTTCCACTTCATTGCCTGAACAAGAAGAAACGGGGTGACATTGAGAGATAGACGGGCAAAACTTGCGTTCGATGATCACGCCAAGCGCTCGACAGATCCATACCTCGACGAACCAGTGCTCCGCTTTTGGAAAGATGTGCTCCTCGATAGCCTTTAGGACCTTCGCGGACACTTTGGTCTTCGATCTTCCGATGTAATAGTCACCCGGTTCCGCCGAGAAACCCGCTTGCAGCTGGATGGCCAGGCGCGGGATGCCTGTGACGTATGACCTGCGCGTCTCGTTCATGTCCCATTGACCCAGCTGCGCGATGGTGTTGAGGTCACAGTTCTTGTCGGCGAGGATCTGTGCCGCAGACCGTCGAAAGATGTGTGTGACTTTCGACAGGATCCACACCGCGCTATTCATCGCCCAGGTCACCCATTTGTTGTGAGTCGCATAGGGCAACTCGCTCTTCTCTTTGTCGAATAGGGGGAAGAACGGGTGCTTCTTCGACCACGCTTTCGGGTTGCTAAAATCCAAGGGGGGCACGATCTTTTCGTCGTTGTAGTAGAGCGGCACAAGGTCGAAAAAAGAAGTGTAACCACAAGAAAACTGCTCCGAAGCCGCACTGCTGGAAGTCCATGTGTCGAGTCAGGTACAGGTGGCCGAGCTTGTTGTCTTTGATGGTGATGCGCCATCAGGATCATCACCCTCACAGCCAAGGCCTTCCACAGCGACAGATTGGGGTAACCCATCGACGACCGAAAGTACTCCTTGGCCCAGTGCGGCACGATGTATGAAACGAGAATGCGGAATTGCTCCTCCGAGTAAACATCATCGAGCGAGCCCCGGTGTGGATCGACGCACCTCCTGCATTGAGTGGGCAGATAAAGCGATTCATGAGTTAGAATGTGAGTGAGAAGTTGTACTCGCCGGTGTAGGGAAGCCTACTTACTCGAACTGAAAGTCGTGCAGTTGTCGCAGCTTGACCGCAAGAAGCTGCCGGGCCTCGGTGATGTCGTCCATGGGTTTTGTGAGTGGCTCATCAAAGAGTATGGCCTCTACTTTGCACAAGCACATCAGCGCAGTAAGGCGCGCCAACATTATCGGTGGGGTGCATTTTTTCGACTTCCTTCCCACGACTCTGGTCCGCCTGGTATCCAAGGAAGCCGCATGTCCGTCGGTTTCAGTCGAGAGGTATTCGACGTACGCCCGCAAGTGCCATTTCGACGTTTTCGGCCCATGCAGGTGCTCCTCGTTACGGAGCGCCGCCCTCCATCCCGTCACTTAATCATCGTCGATCTCCCTTCCAACCTCGTCCTCGTTGATCACCTGCTCCTCTTCAGGCACTCCGTTGTTTTTTCCGGGCGCCATAATTTTTTAGGCCCAAGCTTTGAAGTGCATGAATCCAGAGACTTTGTTTGGCCGTGTGGAATCCTGGTCGATTGCCAGCAGCAGAAGCCCACAACGGTGAATCCTGATTTTACAGATTGTATGCGCCCTGTTCGTCGCTGAGAATGTGCGCGGCATCCTCTTCTGATATATTTGCAGCGGCAGGGCGCAGAGGGTCCACCTCTTCGACATCGTCCACGTCCTGTTGTTCTCCCATCTCATCATCCTCATCGTCCGTCTCTTCAGGGACGTGGCTGACTAAGTCAGCTCCGCTGGGTCTCGTCGAAGAGCGCCTAGGCGCGGCGGGAGTGGCTCGCGAAGCCGATGTGCCGGCTGGGGGTGGTGGTCGAACCTCAGGCGGAACACCCATCGATCTCCTACGACGGCCTTCTGTCGAGGTCGGTTCACCAGCAAAATGTTCCGTGCGTGTCATCGAGCGGTTGGCTGTCGACGACGGTGCACGGTGATATGGGGCTTCGTGTGTCGAGGGAGCGTTTGTTGTCGAGATGGGTTCTACCACTACAAGTATGGATTGCGCCGTCGAAGGGACCTCGATCTGTGCACCACCGACTTCGATGTTGACCGCACTGCCTGTCGAACGTTGGTCCGTAACAACCGGCCGAACCACTACCGGTATGGGGCGTGAGGGGGCGCTGAAGATACCGGTATGGCTCGCGACATCGAGGTGGGCGCTGTCATGGCCGGTATGGCTCGTGACGTCGAAGGGGGCGCGGAAGAGACCGGCCTGGCTCCAGACGTCGAAGGGGGCGGTGTCGAGATGGATTCTATGTCGACAGGTGGCCGTCCTACGTCAGCCTGCCGGAAAGTCGCTGTCGTCGACGGATCGTTCTCCATCACTGCCTACCCGAAAGCTACATTTTTTCCATTGCATTGGCCCACAATAAAAACGGTGCACTGCTGCTACTACTAGAGGATTTGGTTTATACCATGTTTGGGCCCGTGTTTGGGCTGATGTTCCTCCCAGTGTAGCTGCCCTCAAGTCCGTGACTTTTGACGTGGCCGTCAGCGGTTGACGTGGCCGTGTGATTGCGAATGACATAACCCGTCGCCCATCCGACAGTGACAGTTCGCTTGACCGATGAAGAGATCGGTCGACCGTGGTTGACGTCACCGTCGATTGTGACCGTTGGCCGGTTGCGAAACACGTTTCGCTCACGCCGACCGTCAGCGCCACTGTGCAAGCGACGTTGATGGCGAAATTCCACCGGTGTAACCAGTGTTGTCGGGTGTAAGGAATTTCCTCGGATTCCTTACCGGGTCACACTGTACGCATACAACCCCAGTTTTTGGAAACCCTGGCTCGGTCCGACGACCTCGCCTTCCGAACCACCATCGTGGCCTTCGAGTTTCCCAACCCCGGACCTGCACCCAACCATCTCGCGATTCCGCGACCTCGGCCTAGCTAGCGTTGCTATATTAGTCCTAGGCCTTGATGTTTGCTTAGACGTTGTAATCACTTCCGCGTTATTGA